TCACACCTGAGTGTGTTTTCCTATCACTCTGCACCTTATTTGTTGAGACAGGATCTCTTACTGAACCTTGAAGCTTACCAATTCAGCTAGAACAGCTGGCCAGCAAGCCCCCGGGATCTGCCTGGCCCACCCCGAGCGTCCGTGAGCCTGGGTTTATGTGGGTGCCGGATCTGCACTGAGGTCCTCACGCTGTGCAGCAAGCACCTGACCCACTGAGCATCTCCCCAGCCCCACTTACAGCATTCGGTTATCTTTGATCTCTGCCTGTGTCCATTCCTGAACGTCATGCCGATGCTTCAGAAGAGGCCCCTCCAGTGTCTGTCTGTCTAGTGACCATCATGTGTTCTAACCATGGTACCTGACACATCAGTTTAGCTGCCTCAGCTGTCCCATAATATTCTAATTGTCATGCATTTTCACCAAGACTAAAGTCAGAAAGTCCTAAATGATGTTAACTTTATATTCCAAGTAGATGTAGATGAAGGTAACCCAAGTTGCTCAGTACACAGAGAGCCATTTGATAGCTGGGGTGTGGGTAAGGCAAACAGAATGGAGAGGATGGAGTTCAAATTCCCCTGTCTTCTTCTGTGCCTACATCAGATACTGTTAGAGTCTTACGAATGTTGTCAATTGGTTTTTTTGTTTGTTTGTTTGCTTGTGGGGGTTAGGGGTAGGTGATTTTGTTTGTCCGTTTGTTTATTTGTCAGGGTCTCGCTGTATAACTCTGGATAGCCTGAAACTCACTATATAAACCAGGATGGCCCCAAACTCAGAGACCTACCTGCCTCTACTTTTGGAGGGCTGGGATTAAAGGTGTGTGTCATCACACCTGGCTCATGTTGTTGAAATAGGTCTCTATGTTGTTTAGGCCCCAGCACCTTAACTCACTAACTCGAACACACTGAATGAGTGGAGCCAGTGTAGTGAGGGCTATCAATTTTCTGACTTTACACGCCACCAGGTCTGGCAAAAGCAGCTTGTTGCAGGGCACATTGCAAGAGGCTCTCATGGGAAGCAGAGCATGTCTTGGATGGAACCTGCTTGAACTTTGGCTGTTAGTGCTCATCCTTGGCATGGAGAAGACTTAGTTCTCCTCTTAGCCCTTGAATGTGATATGCACCTAATGCCACGGCCTTGCTCATGGGAGAGAGAGTTAGCAAGTGGTGGGAGCTGAGCTGCCTGGCAGGTGCAGGTGATGCTGTTTCTGGGGTGAGGGCCAAGAGCAATGGGAGTTGTTAAATGAACTCTGTGGGGTTAGAAGATGAAGAGTCAGTCACTCAGCAGCACTAATGATCCGTTTCTTGTCTTTACTTCTTGTTAAAGTGTTTTAGTGACCCACACAGATGCAGTCAAAATTTCAGATTTTGGTACATCCAAGGAACTCAGTGATAAAAGCACCAAGATGTCCTTTGCTGGTACAGTTGCGTGGATGGCACCTGAGGTGATCCGGAATGAGCCTGTCTCTGAGAAGGTTGACATATGGTGAGTGGTGCTCCCTCACCATCTCAGAGGCCCCTGCCCACCTTCACCTGGTTTCTGCCCTCCATGCTTCCTTCTCCTTCCTGAAATATTCTTCCGTGCTTTCCATTCTGGTTGATTCTGGTTGCAGATTCTCTAAGGTTTGCCCAATATGAGATATGCCGAGAAGAATTAGGAGAAGAATGGGGTGAATATCCAGTAAACAGTCAGTTCTGAGGCATCTCCATGAGTATGCTAAACTTGCAGGAAAACTGGAAGTTTATTTTGAATAACAGTTTAGTGGCAAAGGCTTTATGAGATGCATTGCATGTCTCACTTCTTTGAGTAAAATATACTAAACAAAATGTGCTTGTTCTTGATGATGTAGGTCCCACCATATAGCTCAGGGTGGCCTAAAACCTGCTGTGTACCCAGACTGTCCTTGAACTCACGGTCCTCCCAGCTCAGCCTCTGATTGCTGAGGTTACAAGCACGCACCATCCACCTGGTCTTTAGTTAAAGACTGATGTGTGAGTCCATCCCTCTGAACTGCCTTCCGTGTCTGGCCCGCTGCAGGTCTTTTGGGGTGGTGCTTTGGGAGCTGCTGACAGGGGAGATCCCCTACAAGGATGTGGACTCTTCAGCCATCATCTGGGGTGTTGGGAGCAACAGCTTGCATCTCCCAGTTCCCTCCACTTGCCCAGATGGATTCAAAATCCTTATGAAACAGACATGGTAAGAGATGCCTTTCTTCTGTTAATCTCTCTTACTTTCTTCCTAAAAAGCTGTTAAAATGTCCCTAAAAGAGCAGGGGCATGTCTGCAGAGTGTTTGGAAGGAACCACATTGTGTTGGAGCAACAGGAGCTGTGGAAATTTAGAGCTGGATTCAAACCCTGGCCCTGACAATTTGCTACCTGTGAAATCACGACTGTGTCTCCTTGTAAAGTAGAGCCAGCCCGTGCTCAGGGAGTAAATGAAGGGCTTAGGATGGTGTCTTGGAACAGTTCTCAGTCCTGACAACCAAGAACCAGGACTATTAACTGTTCCAGCAATGAACCTGACTTTCCATCTCATCGGCAGATGCTTCTAGTCTTATTTTCCCTTTGTACTTGAGTACATCTAAGTTGTCTGAGATATAGCAATTCTTGGGATAAAATGTGTATTTCGTAAAGCAGACACAGCCTCAGCACCCCCCACCCAGACACACTCTCTGAGATGCACACACTCTCTCTCTCTTAGGCAGAGTAAGCCTCGCAACCGGCCTTCCTTTCGGCAAACACTCATGCATCTGGACATTGCGTCTGCGGATGTGCTTGCCACCCCACAGGAAACTTACTTCAAGTCTCAGGTAAGCCAGCACATTCCTATAGACAGCCAAAGAGCACTGTTAGCCACGCAGCAGTTATATGACCCCTTTACTGTGAAACAGTAATTATGATAATTGAAAAATGTGATGGTGAATTCTGGCAGCATTGCTTAAGAAGGAGAAAGAAGACGTGAAGACTGCCCCATGCCCATCTTCCAGGTGGCACTACTGTGGTTCTTCCTGAAGGCCTTGCTCATGCTGAGGCACAAGAGCTGAAAGCAAGAAGCAAAAACTTGAGGACCAGACAGAGCCACAGCAGGATTAGGCCCTAGTGGTCTCAAATCAAAAGTAGTTTAAAGTATCTGTTAGCCTTCACTGTACTAAAATTTTCCACAACTTACACCTAAAACAAACAAACAAACAAACAAATTAAGCATTTATCTAGCTCGCCATTCTGTAGGTAGTTGGAGCTAGCCAATTCTTTCGATGCTCAAGTTTATCTAGAGGTCTGTAAGCAGTTCCAGGTTACCAGGAAGGTGGCTCCAGGTGGCCACCCTAGCAGGTATGCTGAACATCTGGCTAGGAGCTAGAGCTCCTCTGTCCATGTGGTGGCTAATTCTTTCACAGACTTCCTCACATCCCATTTGTTTTCATGGTGACAAGTGGATCAAGAAAGCAAGACCCAGTGCAGGTGATTGTCATGCTGCATTGCATCATACCTGCCATAGTGCCACATTGAAGCAAATCACAGGTCACCAGATTGATGACAGCAGTCACCTCTTAAACAGCACATCCACAAGAGTGAGTTGTAAGGGCATGAGTCGGAGAAGGGAAGGGTTGTGGCTACTGTGGAACTGGGATGGTTCCCTGACCGCTATTCCTGTGGATGTGGAGTGATTGCAGGTGAGGACAGGTTCCCTTTCCCTAGACCCAGGCAAGATTACAAGGCAAAATAATGCAGCTTTCTAAAGAAACATGATGGTCCGAAATTATACCTTTGTGTGCACAAAATTATCATCATCATCATTATTTTGACAATACTAGGGATGAAACCTAGGACCTCTTAAATGCTAGGCAATCACTCTACCACTGAGCTCTACCTCAGACTATTGATATATATGTGTGTGTGTGTATGTATGTATGTATGTATGTATGTATGTATGTATGTATGTATGTTGCTAAGTTGCCCAGGCTGGCCTGAACTCATTTTATAGCACAGATAGATTTTTGAACGTGGGATTCCTCCTGTCTTAGCATCCTAGCTAGCTGGGATTTCAGGCCTGAGCCACATGCTCAGCTTAGAATTGAACTGTTAATACTAAATTTCATATTAGACATATGGCTTTTTCTCATTTGTTATTAATGTTATTAAGTGTCTAAAATGAGCTTTGTAAAGTGAACTCCATCTCTGCAGTGGCTTCCAATATCATTTCAAAGATTTATTCTCAGAAGAGACATCTTATTACATACATTTATCAACTAAAAATAAACTAAATTAAATGCAAAAAAATTATGCTAACCTATAGGGAAAATTGATGCCTACACACTTTACAGATAAGACTCATGGAAAATGTAATTTTCTTCTCCAAGTTTATACTTGGAGAAGCTTCTTCATCCCTTGGAATGCAGTATAGAGTCTTCCAGGAGAGCCTGAGACTTCTTCAAGGCAGCTATAGGCAGGAAACTATTTTTGTAATAACTTAAGTTGTTACTGTTTTCAATCTTGTTATCTCAGAAGTATATGCAGAATGTTCTAGAAACTAAATGATGGGGGATATAACTCTGATAACAAGCAGAATGTTTTCTTTTATGCTCATAACTCAAGGTTTTAATGTCTAACCTAATATCAATAGGTATTGCCCACATAAACAAATATTATGTGGAGTCCTAAATAATTTATAAGATAATAATGAGGTTCTGATACATAAGAATTTGAGAGCCAATGTTAGACATTTACCCTACACCAAAGACCCTGTCCCAGTGGGTGAAGATCTTACAGGAAAAACATCTTCTGAAAAGAGGACTGGGCCCAAGGAAGAAGCAAGAGAGATTACAAGTAGGAAAGGAAGAAATCATAGTATCTACCTGAAGACAACAGGACCCTATCCTTAAAGGACTCCAGCAGAAAACTCTCAGCCCTAACACACATTCTCAGCAAGTCACAGGGTAAGAAACCCACACACACAAATCAGCAGCATTCTGGTCATCAGAGATCAACTTCTGAAAAAGAATCTAGAGAGGAACATCTCCCTCACAGTGAAGATGAGAGACACTGCAGGGAAGGCACAGAAGGAAGAGACTGAAGACAACAGATAGTGGGAAAGATCTCTACACTCAAGGATTGGCAAAAGCACTGTTGTGAAATCAGCTGGTGTGCTGGCTAGTTTTATGTCAACTTGACATGAAATGAGGGAACATCAATTAAGAAAATGTCTCCATGTGACCCAGCTGTAGGGCATTGTCTTAATTAGTGATTGATGGGGGAGGGCCCAGGCCACTGTGGGTGGTCCTGGGTTCTATAAGAAAGCAGGCTGAGCAAGCCATGAGGAGCAAGCCTGTAAGCATCATTCCTCCATGGCCTCTGCATCAGTTTCTGCATCCAGGTTCCTATCCTGCTTGAGTTCCTGCCTTGACTTCCTTCAGTGATGGATTACAAATGTGGAGGTGTAAGCCAAATAAACCCTTTCCTCCCTAATTGCTCTTGGCCATAGTATTCCATCAAAGCAATCTAGCAGAATCTAAGACAGCTAGATTCCTGAAAGTGATCCACAAGTTCAAAATACCAATTACATTGTCTACAAAACTAAAAAAAAAAAAAAATACTAAAAATCATAAGGAAACACAAAAATCAGAAAGTCTGAAGTGAACCTGAGCCCTGGAGAGCAATGCTGGTTTATCACAATACCTGATCTGGACTCTGCAGAGCCCTAGAACAAAAGAGCGCAGTGCTACATCCGAGCAGACAAGTGGACAACAGAATTGGATAGACAGCCCAGCTGCTGATTGTCACCAAAGGCAAAAAACATACACGGGAACAAAGACAACCTCTTCCAGAAACTGTGTTGGAGAACCTGGGTGTCCACGTGTGCACAATGAAGCTGCATCTCTCTCATACACACACCCTGCACAGAAATGGACCAAATGCCATCGTGCTAAACCCAAAACCTTGAAGCACTAGAGGAATACGTAAGGAAAATACTTAAAGATGCAAGAACAGGCAAGGACTTTCTGAAAAAGATTCCAAATGCCCAGGACGTAACTCTTAAGACTAACACATGAGAGATTTTTGTGAAATTCAGAAGCTTCTGTGCAGTCAAAGGAAGCAGTCACCAGACTGAAGAGACATCACCAACTCCACAGCAGATGGAGATTAATACCCAGAAAAACAAGGGACCAAAAAAGTAAATACCAAGATAGTCAGTAAGGAGATAACAACAAATAAACAGTTCTCAAGGGAACTGAGAATGGCAAATAAATACTTGGAAACTGTGCTCAGCATCCCCTGCCATCAGGGAAACACAACCAGACTGCTTCGAAATTGCATCTCACCCAAGTCAGAATAGCTGTTGTGAGAGGACAATGGAAACAGAAAGTGGGGCTCAGAGCTGGCGTTGCTGACCTTCACGGGAACATCTGCCTTATTACATGGACACTGGATCAGAACTCAGGTCTCATGGTTCCAGAAGAAGCTTCTTAACCTCTGAACCATCTAAACAGACCCGTAAAAGTGAGCTTAGAGCAGAGATCATGTGATGGTCTCTCTAGATGCATAAAAGACAGTTGACAAGGTTCAGCATGCTTTCATGATAGAAGTTCTAGAGGAGGGCTGGTGAGATGGCCCAGTGGGTTGAGGTACTTGTTGCCAAGCCTGGTGACTGAGTTCTATCCCTGGGACCCACACGATGGAAGGAGAGAACTTGCTCCTACAAGTTGTCCTCTGATACACACACACATACACACACACACACACACACACACACACACACACACACACACACACACACGATGAATGAATGAATAAATAAATCTGCTTTTTTAAGTCCTGGAGAAGGAAGTTAGGATTAGACAAAACATACCTCAAAACAATAAAGATATGACAAACCTGGAGCCAACATTATACTAAATAGGGAAAAGCAGAAAACATTTCCTCTAAAATCTGAACATGACAACAGTATTCACTGTCTCTTCTCAAATTCAATGTTGTTAATATTACTTATTCAAAGGATTAGTTAAAACAGTAAGACAAGATAAATGGTTGAAGTTTAAAGATTAAATGTGTACTAAATGGTTTCTGACACTATGTCCCATGTCCGTTTGAAGACTCTGTACTTCAAGGGGAGTCCATCTGAGTGCATCTCAAGAAACACACAGGAGTGCCATGAATATGCCTCATTTGTTTTCAAGATTTATTTTTAATCATGCTCACACATGTGTGCTCTCAAGCCAGTGTTAACTTTTCTGAAAACCTCTCATATGCAAAGCACTGTACAGAGCAACTAAGTTCCTCTAGTCACTCACGTTCATTACTGGGTCAATAATCAAAAGAAAGTAAGTGCTGACCTCACTAAAGGCTCTTTTGGGGCCAGGAGAGGGAAGTATAGTCGGGGAGGAGAGGAGAACGTACCAGGCATCCTCTTTAACGTGGGCTGCCAGGTTAAATTCCTATCCCTGGGGGTTTGTCAGCAACACAAACTTAGAATGTGTGTGACAAGTCCAAGCCCCAGCAGATCTGGGATGTGGGAAGACCATGAGTCCTGCTTCACAGGTGACACTCTTTTTCTGTGTTCTTCATGGCAAAGGACAGGCAAGTTCCAGGCTACTTCCAAGGAGTGAGAACAGAGTTCAGAGTGCAGTAGTGTCTGCTCTGTTATTAATTCCTCCATGGTTTCCTCCCAACACAAAACATCATTTCTCCCTAATTCTCCCTCAATAGCCCCTGGTTGGCTAGTTGCAATAATTTTTGCTAGTTGCAATAATTTTTCAACTATTTATAAACTGATGTTTCCAGGTCTGAAATTGAGACCATCTCCAGCTAATGATAATGAAGTATGTTATGAGCTGGCTAGTGAAGCACTAGAAAGAATGTGGGCCTTGACTCTACACCCGCCCTGACCACTGTGTCTTTATGCCGTGTGACCCCTGCCCGCTCATCTAAATAATGGAGAAAGTCATTCTCCCCCTGCTTAAGGAGTCCCAGGGAAGGTCTAGCGAAGACTAGGAACGCAGGTGCCTTGTGCACTGTTGGCTTGTAATGTGCTATCATTTACTTGCCTGGAAGCTAAAATCTCTCAGCCTGAATTGGACCATTGCCTTCTCAATGCTCCCTCTGATAAACTCTTAAGATTAATAAGATGGAGGCTGATTGTATTTTGTCACTGTTCTGCTCCATGGGTGATTCACACATGGTTTTGCTCTTACTGTAGCAGTCTTCTGTCTGTGACCTTGCTTCCTCTCACCTGCTGACAGGATGTCCTCAGCATCGACTGTCTGACACTGTTGGCTTCTAGTCACTACTGTCAGTCAAGAGTGCTGACACAGATAGATACTAATCTGTCTTCAGGATCTTGATTTCAATTCTTTTGGGTGGTTGCTGAGAAATGGGATTGCCATTCTCAGGACAGTTAAAGACTAGTGTTAGGGGTGATGTGGGAGACCAGAACCCGTCCCTCTGTTGGTGGGAGTGCAAATGGGACAGCGAGTGCTTCAGAAGGCATCGTGGCGCCTCCTCAGAAATTAAAAGCTGAACTGCACAGTGCACGTGCTCCAGAGCATCTATTAGCATGTGTCTCCAGGCGAAGGAGCAGTCAGTCCCAGGAGAATGCACATTGTTCACTTGTACTTCCAGCCCACGGGGAAGTTGCCTTGTTAGTCTCTGGTCATGATAGTCACACATCAGTTTCCAGAAAACAGCTAAATGGAGATTTTATTGAACTGACTGACTGACCGAGCAGCGCTTTGTCAGCATCTGAGGTTGACTTGGGAATTGTGTCCCATGGAGGGCACAGTGTCCTTTCTCACTTTGTGAGCTTACAGAAGATGTGTGACCTCATAGCCACTCTGGATCTCCTTCCCTGAAATTCTCTACCCCCAACTTCTGCCACTGTGTGGTTGTCCCGTTGCTGACCCAAATGTGGAACTCACCCCCTCCCTTGATTTTTTAAGTAATTTACCTTACCTCATCGAAAGCCAAAGTTACAATAGCAGAGTTCACTGAGTGTTTGTGAAGTAGAAGTAGCTTTGGTCAACCTGCATCATGTACTAGACAGACATCTGTCCCTTGACTCGCTGATCTTGTCAGACTCCTCCATTGTTTGCCCCCCTCCCTCCCCTCTTCCCCTTTGGACCATATTCCTGTGCCGTGTACTGTTCTTTGTACACTTTCTCTGGGATAGTCTGTTCCATGTATTCTTTTTTCTGAAGCAAAGCTAATATGGTAGCAGATATGAAGAAACTCAGAGCCTCACAGACACATGAACCACAGTTCCAGGGCTTTCTCTTCTGCCTCCTTACTACAAACACTGCCTTGACTTCAGCTGAGCACTTTTGTCCTAGATTAATTGTTGTGCCCTGTGCCGTTTCTAGTGGTCACTGCTTCGGGGAAACTGGGAACGAGATAGCACTGTGTTCAGGACAGAGCCTGGGGCTTGCAGTTATAGAAGTGGGAGGTGTTTTGTCATTGATTCGTGAGTGCTTCTTGAACCATGAACAAGCTCGTGTAGGAAGTTTGGGGAAAGCGTGGAGAGACACGGGAAGAAATGTCTTTAGTGTGGTCTCATGGATGCATCAGGGAAGGAAACCACCATATTTACAAAGTTACACTTTCCTCACTCAGGCTGAATGGAGAGAAGAAGTGAAAAAACACTTTGAGAAAATCAAAAGCGAAGGGGCCTGTATACACCGCTTAGATGAAGAACTGATTCGCCGGCGCAGGGAGGAACTCAGGTCAGTCCACCCCACCCCAGTGGATCACACTTCAGTCACCTATCCTCCTGGGGAAGGCTGCTCTCAAAGGAGCAGGAACAGTGTGGTGATACTATAGGCTGGGAAAGTGTGCAGAGGGCGGGGTTGGGAAGCTGGCTAATGGATGCTATTATAATTAGACAAAAAGAATTTATAGACCTGTGCCACCACACCTAACTTTGGGATTCTTTTTCTTCTTTATTAAAGAAGCTAAAAGAAAGGAGATTGTCATAATTACCCTGATTTTTCATTAATTTCTTATTTTGAATTCTATGGACATGTCTGTGTGTGGTATGAACAAGGGTGCAGATGCCCATAGAGACCAGGGCTTCAGATCCCCTGGAACTGAAATTCCAGATGGTTGTGAGCCGCCTGCTATGGGTGCTGGGGATTGAACTCCAGTCCTCTGGAAGAGCAGTACGTGCATTTAACTGCTGAACCATTTCTCCAGCCCTGGCTATCCTGATTTGAACACTGTATAACAAATACACATATGGAAATATCACTGGGTACTCTGTAAAGATGTACAATTTTTATATCAGTTAAAAATAATTAACGTTTGAACAATAAAAGATTACCGTGTGGTTAGAGAGACTGTTCCGTGAGTAATGGTCTTGCCACAGGAATGTGAGGACCTGAGTTTGAATTCCCAGAGCCCACAGAAATCGGGGCATGGCAGCCATGATCCAAGAACTCCTGGGGCATGATGGGAGACAATGCCAGGAGTCTCCCCAGAGGTCAACAGAGGACCTCCAGCTCAGTTAGGTGAGAGACCTACACACACACACCATGGCATGTTCACACACACACACACACACACACACACACACACACAGAGTTGCCTTCAGCGTGTTCACACCCACCGCACACAGCTGCCTTTTACCCGCTCCTCTCACCCCTGTTCCCTTCTTTATGGTCCTCTGAACATGGACTCTCAGAGCACCCCCACTGCTCTTGGTGCCATTGGAGACCAGGAATTGATAAGCTCCAGTTCCCAGTCTCAAGACCTAGTAAGACGTTTCAACATAACCACGGTATTAGGCAATTCGACCTCTGTAACAAAATGCCTTAGATTTAGCAATTTATAAACAGAAGAAACGTATCGCTCATGATTCTGGGGGCAGAACTATTTAACATCAAACCCCCAGCGAATTCAGTATCTGGTGAAGACCTGTTCATCATATCATGGTACCCACATGTGTCTTCCCACGGTTGAGAAACAAAAGGTTCCCTCTAATACCTCCCTGCTGCCACCTCCCATACCGTCACCTTACGAGTGAAGGGTTGCATTTGAATGTGAGGGAAACACTGAGGCCACACTAGCCCAGATAAGATCTGTGCCGTGGATAAGCATGTGATCATGGTGTTAACTTTAAATTATGTTCATCAATATGTAAATATACTGTTGCATTAAGATGGTGCCCACGTTTACAAATGAAGACTATAAAGTGCACACAGGCCTATTCTTACTTTGCCTGTGGCCCACCATGTGGTTGGAGGAGCCCTTAGGATAAAACAGGCAGCTCAGATTTCCCACCCCCCCCACACTCCTGTTTGAATCGTTGTGTTAAGAAAATTTTAAAAATAGAAAGCCCTGTGGCTGGTGCCTTGAAGTAAGGCGCTGTGTGTGCTCCTCAGCCTTGCTCAGCCTGTGTTTTCGTTGACAGACATGCGCTGGACATTCGAGAGCACTATGAGAGAAAGCTTGAGCGCGCTAACAATCTGTACATGGAACTGAGCGCCATTATGCTGCAGCTGGAAATGCGGGAGAAGGAGCTCCTAAAGTACGTATTCCACCAGAGCCAGCCCTCGCTGCTTTGAGTCTGTCCGTCAACAGGACACACTGCCCTTGTCATGGTGCAGCCACAGTGACGGTGCAGATATTTTAGTTATTCAGTCAACTTGCCTTAAGGACTTGCTGTCCACAGGTCCCTGCTAGGGTGAGGCATACAAGTTAGCAGAGTTGCTGCAGGACTGATATGGCACTGCTTACTGGACTAGCATGTATTCTGCGGGATGCACGGGTCAGCACGTGTACGCCACTGTGCTGAATGCACCTTTCAGACAGGGGCTCCGTTTCCAGTACTGCGTGTGGATAAGCAGAGGCTCGTTGACCTGTGGGAAATACAGTACTGCTGAAAACTGTGTCAGGGGTCCCTAATGGCTGTCAAAATGACCAGGGGTCTGGACCCCAAATAAGCAAAGCTTCTGCCCTTTATTGTGTTGGGGAAGAGAAAGATAAACCATGAGTTTGAGCTGAGAACAAAATAGGGTTGAGTTGACTTGCTTTCCTCTTCTAGTAGCATATGTAGGACCTTCCAGCACTATGGAAGCTGCCAATAGAGAGGAAGCCTCCACATCAGTTCCAGTTCAAGTACAAGGTCTTCAGCAATAGGGTCTTATAGTCACTTAAGTCCTGGAGGGTAACCAAAAGCATTGGAAATAGCCTGTAAAGTTTTGGATCTCTGGAACCTCAGTGGAGCCCCAAACTACAAAAACAGTAACCCATAACTGCTTTGGAGAGTTTCTAGAGTTATTTCTTCCTTCCCACATGCCCTGCCCTCCCATTCCCCAGGCTACTCTAACCTGTTCTGGTATACTCATCCTGTTTAAGGTTTTTACACCACTGCTTTGTGTCTCTTCTCCTTTTAAAGCCCCCCTTAGTGTTTCCCTGACCTCCATGGGTATTCTAAATTAACATACCTATCTGAAAATTCAAAACTAATATCCACAAATGAGAGAAAGGTTAGTTACCTCATTCAGAACCATATTTCTAGCTCCATCCATTTCCTTGCCAATTTCATATTGTTTTTCTTCATTTTAAATTTTTTTCTATTTCATTTTCTTTTTTCTTAAATGTATGTATATGATGGTTATTTTGCCTGTCTCTGTCTGTGCACCATGTGCATAGAGTACCCACAGAGGACAGAAGAGTTTTCACTCCCAGCGGCAGTGAATGAGTGTTCCCCTTTACCTACAGCATTTGCCATTTGGGAGAATTTTGTTTGTTTTGTTTTGGTGTCTTTTTTCTTTTTTTAATCTTAGATGTTCTAAGTAGGGTAAGATGAAATTTCAAAGTGGTTTTTATTTGCATTCCCTTGATGTCTAAGGATGTTGAACAGTCCTGTAAAATGTTTCTCATCCATCTGTGTTTCATCTTTTGAGAACTCGGTTTAGTTCTATGCCGAATTGGATCTGGAGTAATAGACAGTTGTGAACTACCTGACATGTGTGCTAGGAATCGAACTCAGGTCCTCTGGAAGAGCAGCAAGTGCTTTTAACCACTGAGCCACATACCCAGTGCCCACTTGTTCTGTAGAGGACGCTTAATACAGTGCTCTGGTTAGAAACCTCCTGATTAGATTCTGCTTTTCCTCTTCAGTAGGTAGGGGATTAGGAGGGTGTTTTCTGGTTCCACAGTTGTGGGGGTCCCCTTTTTTCTCATGGCCTATTGGCCCCCAGTCCATGAGAACAAGGGGCAGAAGCGACAACAGAGAGCTTTGTACAGCCTGTGAGCACAACAGAGATAGGATATGACTTCAGTGAATCTGTTCAACTCTATTCCAGAGTGAGGGGAGATACAAAGGCCGGGGACAGTGGTGGGGGCATACCCTAATTTGCATTAAACAGCAAGTTCTTATCATAAAGCTCCTAGTGCAAGTCTTAATTATCCTATGTGGAAGCATGGCCCTATCATGTCACTCTTAGAACAAAGTGTTTAATTACCATATGGGCAGCAGGGGGAAGCTTCTGCAGGCAACCGCAGCAAGGGTCACACTGGAGATAAGTCAGGCATTGGGCATAGAGATAGATGGTCTCCAAATGAGGTCAGGTGGAGAACAGGATACCTTGGGGCGGGGGAGTCGTCCATGTTGCCAAGCTCAGACAGAGCCGCCAGGTAGACTGAAACCTCAGTCCAGCAAGGCTTCCCAGCACACAGTCACCATCTTAGATCATCTCTGTTCTGTTTTTTTTTTTTTTTTCATTGTCCCACAGGCGAGAGCAAGCAGTGGAAAAGAAGTATCCTGGGACCTACAAACGGCACCCTGTCCGTCCAATAATTCACCCAAATGCCATGGAGAAACTCATGAAAAGGAAGGGTGTGCCTCACAAGGCTGGCGTGCAGACCAAGCGGTGAGACAACTGTATCCATCTGGCATTCAGATAAATGGGGCACCTGTAAAAGGGCAGTCTCAGATGTGGTGGGCGTGGCCTTTCTATAGCTCGCCAACAGTGCATGGGATGTACATAAAACCAAGTAGGAAGATGAAAGAGGGCATGGCACAGACCCCCAAGACTCATTTTAACGACCTGAGGCATTCTATTATAGCACCAAATGCAGGACAGGGAAGTATGCACCAGGGACAGTCAGATCCGGCTGAAACTCCAGCCTGCTTTATAAGTGTGTGACTTGGGCCATGCCACTTAGTCTCTTTCAACTGCAGTATCCTCATGGGTAAATGGTATCATTATGGCACATGGGATTTCTTTTCATCCTTATAACCCTTAGAAACAGAACTGAGTTTGTTGCAATTCTTGATTTTTGACACAGTAGTCTGTGCATATTTTATCAATATATTTACTTAGTTCTTTTTTTAATTTATTTATTATGCATAGAGTATTCTGCCTGCATGTATGTCTGCAGGCCAGAAGAGGGCACCAGATCTCATTATAGATGGTTGTGAGCCACCATGTGGTTGCTGAGAATTGAACTCAGGACCTTTGCAAGAGCAGTCAGTGTTCTTAACCTCTGAGCCATCTCTCCAGCCCTACTTAGTTCTTCTTAATAACATATAATTTACTCCAAGAATAAAAAACAGTACTGATAATTTTATATACCTAGCCAAATGGTTCTCCCCTCCCCCCCACCCCCAGCCTCTGCCCACTCTACCTGTGCATTGAATTTATATGACTTGTTTTGTTGGCTTGTTTGTTAGGCAGTTACCCAGACTGGCCTCAAACTCAATGTCCTCCTGCCTCACTATTTTAAGTAGCTAGGGTAACTAACAAACACATGCCATTACTCCCCTACTATGAAGTTAAAATAGTATGAAATCACATTTAGGACATGGTGTTCAAAAGCAGGGTGTAATTTTTAAGAGATCATTCTTTCCCTATTTGTTTATTGATTTGTTTGTTGGTTTGTTTTTATGTTTTGGTTTTTCCAGACAGGGTTTCTCTGTGTAGTACTGGCTGTCCTGGAACTATCTCTGTAGACCAAGCTGGCCTTGAACTCACAGAGATCCACCTGCCTCTGCCTCCGGTGCTAGGACTAAAGGAGTTCACCACCATACCTGGCCTCTTTACCCTTTTATAACACTTGCTTTATATTGGTTTAATCTCAGTATTAGGAAATGGAGGTACATCTCTGTGTAGAATATATGTTTAGCAGTATGGGGTGTAAGTTCAATGCCTAGAACCTTCAAAAACGTCCTAGTATACTTTTTCACTCCTTTTTACAATGACCAATTGCTGTGGAGTCTTATAATTCTCACATGCCAGAGAAGTGGCTCCAAACCAGACAGGTTACTATAAGGAGAGAGGGTCCTAAGCCTCGGCTTGAAAGACTTGAACCAAATGCAGTAAGAAAATAGGAAGGAGAAACACAAGCCAAGAATTTTGTTTTGTTTTGTTTTGTTTTGTTTTGTTTTGTTTTTGAGACAGGGTTGCTCTGTGTAGCCTTGGTTGTCCTCGAACTGACAGAGATCCACCTGCCTCTGCTCCCAAGGGCTGAGATTAAAGGGGTACCCCACCACCACCCAGCTAACCTAAAATGTATTTTTATCTTTTAAATTTGTATTAACTTAGAAAGTAGCAGGTTTTTTATGGCATTTTCTTACATGTTTAGATTTGGCTGACCCTCCCTACAGCTGTCCTCGCTCTCTTCTTCCCTACCTCCTGTCTCTGTAATGCAAATTAATAAAATGACCCAGAGACTGATAGTGGGGTTCAGGCTTCAAACTGAATATCAGAAAAGCAAAGCAACTGGCCACTAGCTTCCTACCTCTGCCTCAGGCTGAATGGGCTGATCCTGTCTCCACGAGCTCTCACCAAACCTCAGACTGTAACCTCTCCTCAGCGTGGCTGGAGAATGAATGCCTCTGTGAGACCTTGCTTCTGTCTTTTACACTTCCCTAATGTTGGCATTAAAGGTGTGAGCTATAATTCGAGTTTAGACTGATTCACTCTTGTGTAGATCTGGATGGCCTTGGACTCCCAGAGTCCCAGGATTAAAGGTGTGTACCCCCACTTCCTAGCTTCTGGCTGCTGGGATTAAAGGTGTGTGCCTGGCTTCCACAGCTTGTGACTGACTGCTTTCAGAATCCTCAGGCTAGCTTTAATAAATCGTAAATAATGTATTACTACAGGTCTCTGTGCCCCCATCCCTGCTGAAGCCCCTCTGCCCCCAATGGTCTCCCTCCACACTCCTCTCAGAAGTACTCTGCTACCCTCCCACTCTTGTCCCTAGAGCCTTCCCCTGGCTCTCAGGGCAGCCTTTCTAATTTCCTGACCCCCACACATGCTCACTCAAACACATTTATCTACATTTGAAGCTGGGATCCCCATATGACAGGGAACATGAGGATTTTATCTTCCTGAGCCTGGGTTACCTCAGTTGATATACTATTTTTCAGATCTATCCATTTCCCTGAATTTTTCATAATTTGATTTTTCTTTGCTGCTGTATAAAATCCCATTGTGCATATGTGCATATTTCCATTATCCACTCTTCTGTTAATGTCTGTGTAGGCTGCTTCCATTTCCCGTCTGTCGAGCAGAGCTTCGGGAAACATGTGTGTGCATGTATCTTATCTCTGCAGTAGGGCTCGCAGTCCTTCAGATATATTCACAGGAGTGATAAAACTAGGTCATACAGTAATTCTAGTGTTAGCTTTGAGAGGAGCCTCCACAGTGGCCACACCAGTTTACTTACACTCCCACCAAGTGTGAATAAGTTCCTTTCTCCACATCCTTGCCAGCATTTGTTGTCATTTGTTTTCTTGATGATAGTCCCTAGCTGAGGTGAGAAGAAATTTCTAAGTAGTTTTAGTTTGCATTTCCCTGGTGGCTAAAAGTGTGAAAGAAACCAATGTTTCTTCAGTGTGCTTGAGCACATGCAAGTGTGTGTACACAGGTGTGCACATATGTACAGGTGCACATGCATGTATGTACATTTGTTTGCTGTGGCAGCTGGTGCAGCCCTTTTTTTTTATTATTTTGTTTTGTAATAAAAGCAACCTCACAGAATTTGTTGTCACCTAAAAATAACATAAGGTCTACTAATGAATATGAATGCTAAACATGTTTTGAGGTGTTTGAAACAAATCTGTTCTTCTTCCCAGGCCAGACCTGTTACGATCTGAAGGTATCCCCAGTGCAGAAGTGGTTCCCACTGCATCCCCTCTCTCTGGAAGTCCCAAAATGTCCACTTCAAGCAGCAAGAGCCGATACCGAAGCAAACCACGTCACCGCCGAGGGAATAGTAAAGGCAGCCATAGTGACTTTGCAGCAATCTTGAAAAGCCAGCCAACCCAGGAAAATTCACCACACCCCACTCACCTGCCTCACACTCAGGCTCCATGCCCTTCTCTCCATCAGCATAACCCCCTCCAGCAGCAATACCAGCAACCCCCTTCTGCCCTGCCTCAGAGCCGCCGTCCCAGACTCAATATGCATGGGCAGGACATTGCAACCTGTGCTAATAACCTGAGGTATTTTGGCCCAGCAGCAGCCCTGCGGAGTCCACTCAGCAACCATGCTCAAAGACAGATGCCTGGCTCCAGCCCTGACCTCATCTCCACAGCCATGGCGGCAGATTGCTGGAGGGGTTCTGATCTGGAGCAAGCCGGACACTGGGGCTGCTGTCAGACAGAAGCCTATGATCCCTGTCTCCAGTGCAGGCCAGAGCATTCTGGGTCTTTAGATGTTCCCACCACTGAGCCAATGGGAAGCAGCCCAGACTGTTCCAGTTCACCAGCACACAATCCTCTTTCAGGAAATACCCAAGGCTCCGGGAGAATGGAGGCAAATGGATTCAATGGCTGTCAGTCTGGTATTTCTCATCAATTCACATCCCCAATGCTACCTCAAAAGACACGACCCCTTCAGAAGGTAAGGTATGACAAGAGTAGACTGTGTCACTGCCATCAAATGACATTAGAGTCAATCATATGGTACACATTATAAAACTGGTGTGCCAGCCAGGTGGTGATGGCTCACGCCTTTTAATCCCAGCCCTTGGGAGGCAGAGGCAGGTGGATCTCTGTGAGTTCGAGACCAGCCTGGTCTACAGAATGAGTTCCAGGACAGGCTTCAAAGAGAAACCCTATCTTGAAAAATAAAACAAACAAACAAAAAAATTAATTAAAAAAAAAACTGGTGTGCCTTTGGGGAAAAGATGAGCCACCAAAATCAGATGTTTCAGATATTTCTTTTGCTTTAAAGACTTCTCCCTCCACAGTGCTCTGGTGGCTGACCAGGGAGTATATTTGGGGGATTACTGAACTGGGAGACTGAGACAACCATATATGAAAGACATAGTCAAAATGTTTGCAATCTGTTGTCCTAGAGCTCCAGTCTTGAGAGGTGTCCCAAGGAAGTTTAGGAAGTGGAGATTCCTGGTGCACAATGGCAAACATGTTCTTGGAGAAGTCATTCAGTGAACTGTCACCCCAGCATTCCTACACAGCCATTTAAAACCTGTGCTTCTTAATCCTCTTGGCACCAATGCTCTCTACAATCTATCATTAACAGCCATCTTGACCCAACTAGTTTAAAACCATGAAAACTGTTTGTCTTCTTTACTGGCTGCCTTGCAGTCCTCTGTGATGTTGGAGATCTAAGCTTGGGAGTCAGCAGTACAAAGCCAGGGTCGTCCACTTAGCACCTCGGTGCATCTACCACTGTCTGTGCAAAGGGCCCAATAGTGGACCCTGCCATGCTGGTCGACTTGAAGGCTACAGGAATTAGTAAGTAGAGAGCATATGGAATGGTGTCTGGAATGCAGCCTGCTTAATGTTAGGTCGCCTTGCTAAGGTCTCTAACAGAGGTTGTTGTGAGAAGCGTTTGGAACATGGTAAACCTTTAATCCTAAATGTTGCTTCAGCTCCTTATCCCTGTTGAGGGAAGAAGAGGGTGTAAGATGAGCTTGCTCGGTAAACTAGATACTTCATGGGAAAGGCACTAAGGCTAGGGACTATCTATGGCCTCATAACTGTGCTCCTTCCTCCACGGGTGTCACTGCTGCTGGCTGAGCAGAGGCCCATGTGCACTTGGTATGAGCTAATCCATTCTGCACCTTCCCCGACCCCTGTAGCCAGTAACCTAGCATCCGTCCTTCTAAAATGTACAGGACCGCTCGTGGGGCAGTTGGTTGGTTTGGTCTGGTTTGGTTGGTTTTGGGGGGACAGATCTTGCTGTGTAGCTCAGGCTGGTTTAAAACTCAGAATTCTCCAGTCTTAGCTCCTGTGTGCTAGACTTGTAGACGTACACCAGCATAGCCAACTTGGTTTGTTGGGTAGCAGATTCCTTTGCCCCCAGCCATCTTGCCAGCCTGACTCACTGTCTTTTACCAACAGGGTTCTGTAGCCACCTCAGTGACCAATTTTAAAGCATTTTCATCTACCCCAAAAGAAACCCCACCTTTTCTTAGTTACTCCATGTCACTACCCTACTTCCATTTTGATACCGTCTGTGGCTCTGCAGGCCCTAGAACACATAGCACATTCAGCTTCATTGGAACTGCACACCCCATAGCAGCTCAGCTTCTCTTTCCCATGATGCATTTTGGGGGGCAGGGCATCTAATGTAACTGCTCATCTTGGCAATCAGGATCACTAACTCCAGCCCTGTCTCACTGGAAACTATTGTTAAAAAAAAAAAAAAAAAAAGCATGTCAAAATACCATGAATAAGATTTCAATATTTTAGAACTGGCTTTTAAAAATGTAAATTGCCATCAACCCCACCCCCGCTGCTCAGTGGGGCCATCTAAGCTCCTAGAAGACTGTAATCCAGGGACTATGGTGCTGGGGGAAGGACAGTTGATTTTTACCTGTGGCTTATTTCCTGCCTTAGTGCCAGATGAGATCTTCCCTATGGGGAAGATTAGCTGTCAGCCATTCACATGTGCAGCCTCTCACATCAGCCATGGAAGCCAGCAACCATCTCCATAGTCCCAGCCAGAGATCCCTTGTCCCTACCACCATGTGGACTCGGTGAAAATACATGAAGAAACTTTTTTTTAAAATTGAAAAGTGATGATTGTATGTAGTTATGTAATTATACCTTCAGTGACCCTGTTCTGGAATTGAATATGAACAGGTTGTTTTCACATTTAACACTGACATTTAAACACCACATGTCTTCCCATGGCTGTAGTATTAGTGGCAAAGCAATTGATATAGGAAGAGGAAAAAGGTCCTAGTGTTCCAAATCCAAGACCTCATCTGCTTCCTCTCCATCAATCCTCTCTGGACACTTGCATGGGGCCTCTTCCTCCTGCAGGCAAAGGGAAAGTTGTATGTTTTCTAGCACCTGGTAAAGGGCCTGCTGTCATGGAAACAGGGCATACTGCTGCTGGATGGATATGTTGGTTTGGGCTGCTTTGCTTTGGTATTGGGGAGTTGTTTTATTTGGTTGGTTGGTTGGTTCCAGGATGGTCTGGAACTCACTATGTGCCTGGGCTGCTGTGGCCTCTGGAGTGGCAGAATTTTCCAGTTGTGTGCTACCCTACTGGGATGTGGGTGGGTATGTTTGAAGGGGCCATCAGCAGGCTAACACTAAACCCCTTCAGATGGAAACCAAATCTGTCCGAGGTGATGAGAGATGGGGAAGGGGGAAGATTCCAAAGCCAGTAAAGTTCTTTTCCCCTTCCCTCCTCAGAGTGGAGATGACTCCTCGGAAGAAGAAGGGGAAGTGGACAGTGAAGTGGAATTTCCTCGAAGACAGAGGTAAGGCCCGCACAGCCCGACTGTGTTCAGTGTCAGGGAGCAGCTCCGAGTGTGCCGCACCTGGCTCAGCCACAGGCCTGTCTGCAGCCACTTTACAGGGAAAGTGCACTAAACACTGACGTCTTCCCATCACCACGTCTGATGGTTGCTCTGCACAGCAGGTCACAGGCCATCAGACTCATTTCCAGAGAAGTTCACGAGAAACATGAATACAGATCCCCTGTCACACTCCAGAACAGTGTCGGATTTGGGAGGGGTGGCGTGTGTGTGTGTGTGTGTGTGTGTGTGTGTGTGTGTGTGTGAGAGAGAGAGAGATTTCTAGTGGGCCCCCTTGTGTTGGTCTGTTTATGCTGCTGTAATCAGATACCACAGGCTAGGGAGTTTATGGGACAACACATGTTTCTCCCAGTCGTGGAAACTGGGCAGTCCAAGATGGCGGTGACAGTGATTCTGTTCCTAATCACAGCTCTGTTCCTAGCTTGCAGACAGCCACCTTTATCCTGTGTCCTCGTATGTGAGAGATGGGTACATAATAGAGAATTTGGGGAGGGCACAGTTCAGTCCCTGCTCCTCTCTACATCTGCAAATGTTGACTTTTAGTCTTCCTCTGGGGCAGGAGATAACAGACTCCCGGCCAGCTGACAGACAAGCAGAGGACCCACTCGTCTGCTTAAGTCTGTATTTTCCCTTTTCCAGGCCCCACCGTTGTATTAGCAGCTGCCAGTCATACTCAACCTTTAGCTCCGAGAACTTCTCTGTGTCTGATGGAGAGGAAGGAAACACGAGTGACCACTCCAACAGTCCGGATGAGTCAGCTGACAGACGGGAAGACCGCCTGGCAGAGAAACTAGACGACCTGCTGTCCCAGACACCTGAGGCCCCCATTGAGATCTCTTCCCACTCAGACGGGCTCTCTGACAAGGAATGTGCTGTCCGGCGTGTGAAGACACAGATGTCCTTGGGCAAGCTGTGCGCACAGGAGCGTGGCTCCGAGGTGGGCAGCTCTCCCTCCTCCTCACTCCACTGCACCCTTCCGGATTCTTTGGGGGTTTAGAGTATTATCCTAGTTTGCTTTCCATTGCTGTGATAAACACTGTGACCAAAAGCCACTTGGGGAAGAAAGGTTTATTTCAGCTTCTAGCTCACAGTCGTCATTGAGAAAAGCCAAGGCAGGAACTAAAGCAGAGCAGGAGCCTCTGAAGATGGCTGCTTACTGGCCTGCTCCTATGGCTGGCTCAGCTCACTTTTTTTTTTTTCTTTTGTACAACCCAAGCCCACCTGCCCAAGAAGTGGTGCCACCCACAGTGTGCTGGTTCCTCCCACACCAACTTAATCAGGGAAACGTTACCCAGCGCAGCCTTCAGGCCAGTCTGATGAAAGCATTGTCTCAGTTGAGTTTTCCTCTTCTCAAATGACTCTAGCTTATGTCAAATTGACAAAAAAAAAAAAAAAAAAAAAAAAAAAAAAAAAACAACCAGCACAAGTAGGTTCAAGCCTTGGGGTCTTTATAATTTTCAGTCAGTAGATAAAATATACACTACTCCATGATATAAATACAAAGATGTAGCCATGGAGCTCTCTGAGTAAGAACAGTGTCTCACAAATGCAGCAGAGACATGAAATGTTCAGAAACCCCCCTCCACTTTCCCCCCCACCCCCACTCATCCATCTCCCAATCCTGTTAAGGGACTCACCTGTCCCTCCCTCCATGCCCTCACTCTCCTCTGGAAGACATTGCCATAGCACAGAAGGTACAGTGCTCCTTACATAGAACAGTATGGCCTTTGGAGAGTCAGGAGAGTGTGGTGCTTATAGGAGTAAACCCTGGACCCAGACTGCCTAGATGCACCCCCAGCCACTCTACCTACCATGTGACCTTGGGCAAGTTGCTTAACCTCACCAAAGGTCAGTTTCCTTCCCTATAAAATGTGTGTGATGGCTATCAAATCTATGAGAAATTATCTATTTCAGTAGGTGAGTAGATTGTCATGAGTGGACTGGACTAACAGTGTAAAGAACTTACAGTAAGTGGTACCCGGGACACCAGAATGCTATGGAAATGGGATATGAGGGAACTGGTACAATTGCCACAGCCACCACCAGCATTACCAACTTTATATAGCTCTTTTCTCCATAAGCTTCCCCAAGAACAGGGCCCAGTCTCATTTGTCTTTGTCAGCTGCTATAATACCGAGCATTAGGCTCACCTTCAGTGAGGGCTGTGGAAGGGAGTTAAGGGCTGTCAACATGCACTCACTGAGGGTTGTAGAAGGGAATTAAGACCTCTTGTCTGAACTTTGCAGAACGCTGTGCAGTTTGGAGACTCGGACTGTGACTCTTCAGAGGGGGAATGTTCTGATGCCACTGTTAGGACCAGCAAGAACTACAGCTCTGCCACCTGGTGACAAGCGCTCTCCATCAGAAGATCTCGAGACGCTGGCATCTCGAATCCTCTCCAGCTCTAAACTCCTCCCTCCTGCATTTGTCTGGGAGGAGTGGCCCAATCCCAGAAACAAGCCACACTAACAGGAACACGAGATTTGTTAAATCTCTGGGGAAATACCCAAATGACACTACGTCTCACTGAGCGTTCAATCAGGGATGGCAGGGATCTCCTGTATGGGATCCTCCAGCTACTGTAACATTGATATTTATTTTTGTTGGACATTTTAACACTTTGTATTGTAAAGAGTGAACTATATATGATACACAGACACAATAATTTCTTTACAAAAAAAAAAAAAGGAAAGAAAAGAGAGTCTTTAGAAGCAACACTTAGAATTTGTGGGGCTAAGAGGTGTCACTGTCACTTGAACACAGGACCAGGTCTTTCGTCCACACTTGAAGAGTTGTAATGAGACATATTGAGCATTTGAAACACAAGCCAAAGGAAATGCAGCCACATTAAGTTCAACTGCTTGTCCATGTGAGGGACAGAAATGACCTGGAAGTTGAGTGATCTCAGCACCAAAGCCTCTAGGGCATGTGCTTTCCTCTAAGAGGAATGAGCAAACAGAAGTGTAACTGCAAATCTGGGAGCCATTTCAGTTCTTAACCACTAAGCAGAATCTGGCAGTAAAGGTTACAGTATCAAGTCTTGCCCTTAGCAAATGCTTCCTTTCAGATGCTGCCACTGTCACAACCTTGACCAGTGTGGTCTTTCAGACTTGTGTGCCATTTCTCTCAAGTAGCTTCCTTTCTGTCCACCTGTTGGCCACTTGTGTCAGGAAGGGGAAGGGGTTGTGAGTGGGATAAAGGGGTAGGAAAAAAAAAAAAGAGCATCTATGACATTAGGAAAACAGGACTGTAAAACTTCCTTTTCAGGATGGTTGTTCAAGCTATACAAGCAAGATGGCACAGCCCCTCCCTGGACCCAGGTTATCTATCTACTGGAATCATATTGATTCACACAGAAGGCAGCTAGCATGTGTGTGTCCAGTGTCCAGTCCCAAACCCTCTTTATTTTTGCTCGTGATCTTATTCTAGCTTTGGTGGCTGTCTATCACTGTGGCATAAAAGGCAAAGGAAGCAGCTCACAGAAAGGCTATCCGTCTCACCACATTTTGTTAAATGCTGTTTGTAAAATGCGGGTGTTTTTGTTTGTTTGTTTTTATTCTGAATCACCGCAGTTTTGTTTAGTTGGGTTAGGAAATTTGTAGAACAGCTGATGCTAAACAGGAATTAGGATTACTTTAGTATCTCAAAAGCACGTGATTCTTCCTGTATCCAGAGACCTAGGCTATGAAAAGTACCCCAAGGTACTTTGTGGAGTGTTGGCTTGAAGCAGCAAGGGGGCTAGATTATAGTTAAAGGTGTCATATCTAGAATTCGTATATACATGCATTTGCCTGATCCCTGTGTCTCCAATGCAGGCTTCTGCCAAATCCACACTGGCTGGATTCCGACATCACATCCTATAAGGATGTTAGGTATTAAGACATTCCAACCCCAATGGAAACAGTGCCCCTGGCGGGGGGTCACTGACTGCATCAGCCAAAAATGAAAAGCAGGAGGGGATTTAGAGCCGGTCTTGTGTTTGACTCCTCCTTTGTTTACACTTTATGTTGAGACATTGATTTTAAAGTTTAGTGTCTATAATTTATAGCTCGTAGGAAGGATGAAGGAACATGTTTAATTTAGAGAGCAGTATTGTTTTGTTAAATTATTCCATTTTATATAAACTGTAGCAGGACTACACAGGAGAGTTTAAGTTATGGCATTATTATCCTTATTGTTTTCTGTTGTCATAATTTTCTGTTGACCAGAAGGTGTGGCTTATGATGTAACACAATGCCTGTTTCTTGATGACTGTGAATTATGGACTTTGGTGGGCCTGGTGAAAGTCTGGAACTACCCTTTGGGATGCCTCGGGTGTATTCCCCAGATTCCTGAATGCAGCAGCAGTGGTCTGAGGAGATGGGCTCTGCCCTGGCGCCCGATGGGTACACTGTGATTTTGTTTTTTACTTGATTGCAAAACTCCTGAATGGACAAATGACCAAGGAGATGAACAAGTAGTTCAAAAGTCCCAAAAGTTATAGCTTTCTCAACTCTCTTCAAAGTAAAATCATGGCACTCTAGTGGAGGCAAAAAGAGATTTAATGCTCAGATAGCAAGACAACGCATTTCTGGGGGTAGGAGCTAATGAGGTAGTTTCAAGAGTGAACAGCAAAGCAAGTCATCTCCTGCCCACTGAGCCCCACACACTGGGAAAAGCAGAAAGACTAGAAGTCTATAATGGCAGCTGTGAGGTGCTTCTGCAGCAGACAGGAGTTTTAGGAGGTGGAGGCATTTTGGGGTCACAGGGCTGGGGAATGACATCAGAGGCAGTATTCTCTCATCCCTCAGCCTTGGCTCCCTTATTCCTTGGAACTGAGACTCTTTCTGTCCAACACAAAGCAGAGCCAGCTGTTTGTCCTGTTCCATGTCCACCTTCCGTGGCAGCAGAGAAACAAGAAGGCCAACTTCTGTCTGACACCTTTCAGTGTTGGTCCTCCCAGGAAACCCACGATACCTCAGTCTTCATCAGCATCCTGAATTCCCATCCCTGTCTGTCACAGTAAGGCCACCTTTATCTGGATTAGCTAGTATAGGCACGCTAGGGGTATGGTGTTGACTCCAGTCATTCACTGTATCATCAAGATATGAACAAAACCCACACTTTTGAGTAGAATTATGGTTCTAAGCAGGGTTGAAAGGGAAAAATAGTCTCTGCCCTGGCTTTCCTCCACAGCCTGCCTTGTAGGGGCCAGGATACTGGGACTGACGGTGTTTCTGTGACAATGTTATAGTCCTCAGAAGTGGAAAGCTTAGGGACGTAAGAGTCGGGTCTTCAGTGCTGCTAGCCGCCACCACACCTTGGTGCTTTGAGGAGCTTGTGAGACTGACTTCAAGCTTCTTGGCTGGCTGCAGGATGAGTATATCCGCTCTTTGGCCATCTGCTTTTGACTGACTACCAAGAGGGTTTCATTTGTGTATTGCAGCCAAGCACTGGATTTCCTTTTGTTTTCTAGATCATGTCACTGAATAAAAGTCCCTCTGCAAACTGCTTAGCATAGGAATGGAGATGCGTGTGTCCACTTTGAAACATACCTGACCTCTGAGCTAGCCACAGGTCTGTGGGAGATCTGCCCAGGACAATGAGGTGATGTTGTAAGGTGACTTGGTGGCCTGCTTGAAGACTGAGTACTTTTAGCCTTTAGTTCCACCAAATTAACCCTGGAATTGGTCATTTTGAGTAAGTACTGTCTAGTACTTATTCAGGGCCCCTTTGTGCCAAGCCATCACTCTAACCTCCTCTAGGTGATGGGGGTGATGGCTTTGGAGTTCCTGTCACTAACTCAGGGTTGTCAGTGTACCCCACGAGGTAGCATTGACGTCTTCTCAGTGGGAGTGCATTCCTATTGATTTGGTGGGTTTCTGTTTCTTCTCATGCCCTGATGTCCCATTGTTTTCAATTGTAATTTTTTATTCTTGGAGAATTTCATACATGTATACAATGAAATATGATCATATTTATTCCATTCCCCCTCCATATCCCACCCAGAATATCCTCCTCCCGTCTCCATGTTTTGGTTTGGGTTGTTCTTTTGGTAGCTCATCCCTGTGTGAGTGTGTACGGGGCATCCACTGGTGGAGCATGGGAAACTAACAGTGAACCACTTCCACAAAAGAAGAGTGATTCTCCCTCCCCAATAGCTGTCCACTGCCATAGCTCCCCAATAGGGTAGGACCTGGAATCACCTTCCCATATCAAATTCTCTTTAAAAAAATAATTTCTAGCTGGATGTGGTGGAATATACCTTTAATCCTAGCTCTGGGAGAGGCAGAGATAGACAGCTCTGTGATTTCAAGGCCCAGCCTAGCCTACAAAACACTACCATATGCCACCATGGACCACCTCTGCACTATACACCACGGGCAGCAGCATTTACTAAGCACCGTATTGCTCCCTGCTGAGCCTTGGCACAGCTCAGGGTCACTCACAGCAGCATCTGGTGCGCCATTCATGACTTGGTGGAATTGGTGTGTGGAGTGTTTATTAACCCAGCTCTGAGCTCACAACTGTTTCCTAAAGACAATTCTAGACCTTGAGTTCCCTGATGAGCAAGTACAGGACCATGCCAGACATGTCCTTAGGTCCCCAAGGCTGGCAGGGGCATGCCATGACCAAGGGCCACTTGCCTTCATTCTCTCCCTTGGGACTGCAGTCCAGTTGACTAAGCACCAATGGCATCTCTTTACCCGCAATGAACTGTGCCAGATGTCTATCAGATGGAGGTTCGAGTACGCAGTCTGTTGCTTCTGCCCAAAATGCTGTGAGAATAATGTGAAATTTTTGTCAAGACTTCTTTCAACTGTCAGTATGGATTCAGTGCCTTTCCAGGCAGCAAGGTTTTTCTTTGCTGATGCCATAGAACAAATGTCCCAATGTGCTTACCTCCCTCTAGACTGGCCCACTGGATGTGTTTGTTTGCTTATCTGCATGGCTTAATTGGCACTGCAAATGGCCGTTCAAACAAGAATGAACTGAACTAGGCTGCTGAGTGAAGGAACTAGTGGAACCCAGAACATTTCTCAGGGACAGGTGGCTGAAGAGGATCGCTCTCAGAAACAGGGAAAGAGCTGGGGTAGGCTTTGGTAAATGCTACATGGCAAAGGCGTGACAGGAGGATTTCAGGTGCCACATCCTCAGCAGATGGCAAGGCCATTGTCAGGAAGCTTCCAGCACAATCACAGCCCTGCCTCCAGGGCCCCTGCACAGCACTGGTCAATGGCCATGGTCCTCCCATGGCTACAAGCTAGAGGGCCCAGCCACATGAGCAAGCTATTAGGAAAAGCTTGACCACACCACCCCATTGGCTCCCCACCTCTAGAATTCAACTTCCCAGAGGATGAGTCTTTTTTAAATGTATGTATGTCTGCCCCCATCCCTCCCTCTCTCTGATTATTTATTACAATAACTTAAGTACCTATCGATTTAGAGCAAATGAATTTCTTTCTAGTACTTAAGTCTCAAAATGAAGTCCCTTATCTCCTTGAAACTCCTGGGTTGCCGGCTCCATGTTGTGTTCAGATATTGATTGGCTCTAGCTTTGTACGTACGGAACAGCAGTGGGAACAAGAATGATTATGGAAACAAACCAATGCATGAAATTAAACAAAAAGTATACCTTATGTTTTCTGGTCCTGTCTTTTCCTAAAGGTGCTGTTTGTGTCCCACAGGCTGCCCTGCCAGGGTTTTTAGGGAGATGCAAGCTGGGTTCTGCAGCCAGGACTCTTACATTTCAGGGACAGCTGACAACATTTCCATTTTGTCTTGAGTTTTCCCATAAAAGCTTAGACAGGCACTCTGCATCTCCCTGAGCCATCTGCTGCCACTCCTGCAGCTGTCCTGTTACCAATGACATCACTCTTAAAGAGACCAAGAGAGGCAAATGGGAAGCTGGCATAATTTGGTCAGAGGCCTGCTGGGAATGGAACACTAAACCAGTCTTTTGGATTATATCTTTCAGCCAAACCTGGTCCCTTAGGTAAGGGCGGTTTTGAGTCAGCAATGTGTACAGACAAGCTCTCATGTTCTGTCTTCACTGCAGAACATGTATGTCCCTGGATTTGGGAAATCCCTTCACCTGCGAGCTCATAAGGCACACTTGTGCACAGTCCTGCTGGGGACACATATCTGGGGAGCCTAAGAGAGGAAAAGGACACACGTGCAAAAGGGGAGAGAACCCCATCTTCTCTCTTTCCTTCTCTATTCCAAAATGCTCCAGAACCACTGACTTCAAGTGTAGTCTCCTCATCACCCCCTTGTTAGAAAGGCCTCTTCTGCACATTTTTTTTTTTAAATGAAAGCCTTAAAGCCATGACATGGAAATCCACTCTTACTGTGAAGCCCAAGTACACACAGCAGGCCTAGATTGATGCCTTGGCAAGACTCTTGGCTGAGCGTGGGCTTGGGACAAACACATCAGCCCAGCCTTGGTGCCTTAGAGCAGCATTCTGGCGAGTCCTTGTCATGAGTTGTTCCCATGAGGTCCAAGCCCACAGAGCTATCCGCTCGGGTGCCAAGGTCCACAGCCCAGTGCCACAGCTGGAAGATGCAGTGACAGCTGTGAAGGACTACAAGAACAGCCAAGCAAGCTTTGTCCTCTTTCAATTAAAAAGTACAAATTCCTCAACTGTTCTTAGCAAAGACAAATAAAACATACAGGGTGTACTGGCTGACAGCCTCCTGTACTGATGTCACTCTCCCAGCAGGAGGTGGTAGAAGGAATTCCCAGGCAGTAAATATACGGATGGCCACTGGATTCAGACAAAACACAGCAGAGCCTTGGGAAGGGGATGAGGGGGAAGTGGGGGAGGGATATTTCCTCAGAACACATTCAAAACATGCAAAGCTGGCTCCATTCATATTTAATTATGTTTCATTCAACTTAACTCTCAAGACATACAACATGAGGAGCTTAGACATAGAAAAATCAGTATGTGAACAGGAGAATTATTACAGGAAACATTGCACTCAAGCTGTGTGTGTAAGTCTTGTGTCCCTTATGTTCCTTGGCTTACAGAGAGGTAGATCATCAGCAAAAAAGGTAGAAAGACACTCTTCAAGAGACTAGCAGGGGCTAGAGTCCTGTCTGGTGTGTCATCCACAGGGACTTAACAGGAGAACCTGTTACACAGCCTGTCCAAAAGGCCACCAGCATCTTCTCCCAGGACATCTCAGGGACTGGCAAGCGGCAAGCCCAACAGATTGAATCCTCTGTCGTTGGATAGAACCAAAACAAGATTTTCTAGAAACAGTCCATTTCACAGAACCCTGGACAGGACTGGACCCTCAAACAGAGTGGCCTTCTAATCGGCCTCTGCACACTCTAGACCACAGCTCAGATCACCCTTTGAGGGCAATTAAAACACAGTGAGGACAATAAAGGGACCGTGCCCATCACACAGATCAGCAGCAGAGTCCAGGGCTGTGTAAACATGGAACCTGTATCACGCATCCTTCCTGCCATCTAGACGAGCAGTGTTGCTTGTGCCACTCAGTGCCAGGTGCTTCCGGCTAAATTTCTTTATGAGGGTTCCAGGAACCAAAGCAACCAGGGCAATGGCCAGCAGCTTCAAGACAGTTTCCCAGGAGAAGAGTGCATCCAGAGAAGTGAGCGTGGACAGGATGGAGCCTGTCTGCACACAGATGAAATTGTATGGGATCAAACCTGGAAAAAGGAAAGCGGAGGTGGTGCATTAATGGGGTGAGGGGGTAGGTAAGAGCACTAGATGATGGCCAGGGAACCAAACAGCGACTCCAGCTGTCTGCCCCATTCTCAACCCCTAGCATTCCACCTCCTTCCTTTTCTCCCTGCACTTCCTATACACACCTGCCTTACCCAGCAAAGGCCTTAAGAGGGGCCACACAAATATATGTTATATACATTATAATAAGGAAAATTTACTACTCACACAGAAAAAGATAACTACTCAGAGAGTGAGCTGGGAAATGCTGGAGTCTGTGCACCTGCTGAAGGTGGGACCCAAGAGCCAAACGAGACACACGGAATCTTCAGTGTGTGTTAAAGTGTTTCAAAACCCAACAAACAAGTTTCTTCAAAGTACAACTATGTAATGGTCTGCACTCTAAGAATTCGGCAAGGCTCCGAACTCCTGAGTCTGTCCAGTAGCTCAGATGGCATTAAAAACTCCTCAGAGTCAGGCTTGGTGGCACATGCTTATAATTTCAGTAATCCGGAGGCTGAGGCAGGAGAATAGCAACAAATTCAAGGCCAGCCTGGACTATATGCTGAGACTTGGTCTCAAAAACAAAAACAACACCCAATAACCCTGTAATGCTTAAGGAAAAAGGGAAAAGACCTAAGTCAGACATAACGGAGCACACCTTTAGTACCAGTACTCAGGAGGCAAAGGCAAATGGATTTCTGTGAGTTCCAAGACTTCCTGGTCTACATAGCAAACTGAGAGCCAGCCAGAGCTCCACCACGAGACCCCATCTCAAAAAGAAATCATAAGCCAAGTGTAGTGGATGCCTGTAATCCTAGCACTTGAAAGACTGAGAAAAAAACTGAAAGTTTAAAGCCAGCCTTGGCTACATAACACAGCCATATCACAAACAAATAAAACAAAACACATTCAAAGAATCTAGTTCCTTGCTTCTGAGGTAAAGCCCAGGAGACCGAATTTTAGGAGGCTCTGCCCCAGCCCCTCATGAGTTTCTGATTGGCTGGGACCCCGATAACCCTCACTTCAGTGAAGTACTAATGATCAGATTGTTCAAGTTGGCCCTTAGGAAGGAACTCTGTCTCCAGTGTCTTTCCACGCTGGTGTCACTTGGGTAATGATGAACTTTTAACCGCCATTAGCTGAGGCGCTGAGGCACTCAGCGAGCTGCTGTAAGAACTGGCTGTGGTCAGCCTCCTCCCATCTCTCAGACATTCCTATTAATAGCACCTGCCCCACTGCACATTTGTTAACTCCGACATAAACCCCTGGATATCATTCTCCACAGACCTAAGAAAGGGCTGAACATCTTTGCCCCTGGTTTAAGGAGGGGGGTGGTTTACTGCAGTGAGAGGGTTACACTACAGATGGGTGGGATGCGATCACTTTAACTTGCTCCTAACCCCAGCTCTAATCTAGTTATGCAATTTCCTGAGGCAAAGCATGGCCATGCCATTCTCAGAAGATAGGAGCCTTCCTGATGCCAGCCCTGCCTAAGGCCCCTTAGTGAAAGGGGCTGGTGCCAGAAAGGAAGTCCTTGCTCTATGCCAGCCCTTCAGCCTGGTAGGACTTCTTGGAGCCAAGTCATGTGGTCTACAGAGATGACCCAGTCCAGTCCCAGTGGGCACACAGGAAGCCTCAATGTGGGCACAGAATGAACAATCCTTAGTTGTTCCAAAAGTACTGTATGGGTTTCATGTTCCAGCTAGAGGAGGTTTGAAATCAGCGTAGACTACTTCCAGTGGCTGGCTTGAAGATGCTGTTGGTACAAGCACATGCCAGTGGCAGGTGATGGAGGGAGGGCAGTGCCTCCACCAGCCCCGCCCCCTTCTAACTGATGATAACTCAGGTGATGGAGGGCAGTGCCTCCACCAGCCCCGCCCCCTTCTAACTGATGATAACTCAGGTGATGGAGGGCAGTGCCTCCACCAGCCCCGCCACCTTCTAACTGATAACTCAGGTGATGGAGGGCAGTGCCTCCACCAGCCCCGCCCCCTTCTAACTGATGATAACTCAGGTGATAGAGGGCAGTGCCTCCACCAGCCCCGCCCCCATCTTACCGATAAGCACAGAGAAGAAAAACTGCACAATGGGGATGTTCAGAATCGGGGCTGAGAGGTTCAAGAACCAGTTTGGTGTCATGGGGAAGAGTCTGAGAAACAGCAGGAAAAAGAACAGGCTGCTTCTGTTCTCCTCCACCTGTGGAGAGAGCCCATGGTCAGTAGCAGAACGGCTCTCCAGCTTGCTACAAAGCTGGACAGCTCCTTCCCAACTCCTCCCACAACGCTGGGGAAGATTTCCCCATTCTGAAAACACAAGTGCCAGCTGCACATGGTGGGTCACACTTACAATCCCAGCACTCAGGAACTCAGGAGGCTGAAACAGAGCATTTTCCATGAGTTTGAGGCTAGTTTGAGTTACACAGTAAGACCTTGTCCCAATAAAAACAAAAACTGGGCTGGGGAGATCACTCAGACAGTAAAATGCTTGCCTAAGGATCTGCATTGGATCAGTGGTACCCAAGTCAAAAAAAAAAAAAAAAAAAGCCTGGGATGCAATGCTGGGAGCAGGGACAGGAGGATCCACAAGGCTTGCTGGCTAGCCCGTCTAGCCACCCAGAGAAAGAGTCTGTCTTCCACAGTGCTCACACATACATAAACACACACACACACACACACACACACACACACACACACACACACACACACACACGCACAAAATCACTAAATAGCTCAGGGACCTGACGCTCAGGCATGCCCCACCTTACCTTCCTCTGCAGCAGGGCCACTTTATCAGGAAAGTAGGAGATCACCAGCTGTTTGCCAAAAACACTGGAAAGCAGGTAGCAGCATGTGGCACCCACTGACGTCAGCACACAGCACAGCAAAAGTCCCAGCCATGGCCCAAACAAGGCACCAGCCAAAACATTCTGCAAAGAAAGCAAGCCTTCAGCCATAAGAACATGTAGCCACTGCCAGTAGGCCTGACCTGGAGTCTATGCACTGCCCCCCACCCCCATTTCTAGTGGTTTCCACGGCCAAAACCCAAGGTCCACTTTAAAGAGGAGAATGAAAGCATGGAACTAGAAACATAGCCTTAGGCTCCTCACCTTTACAAAGACAAGGCCTAGAGCTCAGAGGGCATTGGCAAGTTTAAAAGGAGACTAGGTGCAGACATTACCTGGCTGTGTCAAGGGGCACCAAAAAGGGGGAATGAAACTATTTTCACTATTGTGAAGACCATGAATGTACCTTCAGTAATCCAAGTAAGATGCAGTCTTTGTTTTTCATCTGATTAGTAAGCTCACACTGGGCTTCTGTGTTGGCCTCAGTCCTAATTGACCTTTAAAGCCTTGGCTTCACAAAGATGAAAAAGTTAATTAAAACTTCACAAGTGCAGTTTGGCTGGTGAATAGCATCCTGCCTCAAAGCATGGAATCTGGGGATGGGGGGATGTGCTGGCACACAACTGTAATCCCAGAACTTGGGAGGCTGAGGGGAGGATTGAATTCAAGGCCAGCCTGGGCTAGCATGTGAGTTCCAGACCAATCTGTGCTAAGAGTGATACCTCATCTCAAAACAGGAACTGGACAGATGGCTCAGCAGCTAAGAGTGCTTCCTGCTGTTCTGGAGGACCAGTGTTCAGGTCCCAGCACCCACTCTGCGTGGCTGACAAGCGCCTGTAACTCCAGCTCCAGGGGAGCTAGTGCCCTCCTCTGACCACCACCTGTACACCTATACCCAGACACACATGTGCACATAAATAAACCTTCTAAAAAGCATGAACAAACAAACGAGTGACCAAAGGTAAGCAAAAGGGCAAGAGGGGACCTGGCAGTGAGACTGTGGCTGCAATACATGAGTCCTAAGTGGCCCTCACCATACCCTCAGTCTTGTGCCACCCCTACCTCATCCTGTGGGGGAAAGACAGTCTCACAACCAAGATCCCACCAGGCAGGATTAAAATGTACACTGATTCTGGGTGTGCAGCCCTTACCATCCTAGGCTATATAGCACCATGTAGTAGCCGGCTTTGCCCTGAAGCAGGATCAGTTCAAGGGGGAAGTCGGTCCAGGGTCAACCAAAGGACTCAGCCCTGACGGCCAACATCCAGCTCTCTCTCAGCTCCATTTCCAATCCCCAATCTGCTTGGGTGGATTTAAGCTGAAACTGGAGTAGGAAACGGTGCTGGTGAAGAGAGGGAATCAGGACAACAGGAAGCTTGGGGTTATCACTAAGTGCTGAATGCCCACTCGTGCCAGCCTCCCTGAACTCAAGTTTTATTTCATCCTGCCACACAACTAAAAGGGTGTCTGGGGGAGCGGCCACATTTTACAGAAAGGAAACCAGCTGGAAAGAGGGCAGGACACTGACCAGGAAACTGGAACCAGGGATGGCAAAACCCTGTTTGTAGAGGTAGGCACTGCAGAAGAGCAGGAACACATAGGCCTGATGCTCCTTCCGGTACTCTCGAAGGACCTCGGAGAGCTCCCGCAGCTCGGCTAGATCTGAGGGGAACCACAGTGACCTAGGGATTGGAGAATCATATGGAAACATGGATGCCAGAGAAGCCCGGTGCCTAAGAAAGTTACTCTCGACGTGTTGTTGTCTTTCTAGAGTAAGTCTACAAACATGTAATCTGGCCATTTGGGAATATATACAAAGATGAACTCAAGATGACAGGTGACCCCGTATAACACAACAGAGGCAGATAGGAGAGCCCTGGCTTGGGGCAAGGGGCCTGGGCTGGCATCCCCACTCTGCTATGTTCCAGTTGTGTGACCTTGGCGTGTCCATGGACCTCGTTTTCCTTGCTTAAAAGGATCTGGTGCTGGATAACCACTGGATTCCCTCTTCACTTATTCAGGGGGTGTAAGATGGAAGCCCACAGCCTCCTCCACGCTGAGCATGGTCTCCAGCACTTATCGGAATCCCCAGTCTCTGTTTTTTTTTTTTTTATCTTCTCTAAAGAGGCAAATATATTCATTTCCAGGCAAGTGCTGAACATCCAAAATTGCCTTCCTTCCAAGGAAACCCCTCCCCAGCAAGCTCAGAACTATTTAGACACCGTGTTACCCCAAATGTACTAGGCAAAACAAAAGTTTCAGCATTTAAAATGATTCCCCGAGGAAGTATATCTATCTGACATCATAAATACAGCTTTCTTGATAATATATGGCAGGCATGAAGCCAAACCTCCCCTTTCACCCTGCTCTAGACCTGGAGCATTGTGAATCCCGTCCAAGGGTCACAGTACAAAGACTACCCTGCTTCTGCCATCTCAACAGCTCTTTACTCCAGCAGAGATAAACTATGAGCAACCCCTCCTAGTTCTCCCGAGTACCTCTGACATCCACACGAGAACTCTTTCAGTTCCAGTAAAAAGACAATGAACTACAGAAAACAGCTGTCCTGCTAAGCCTCTTGGTAATGCGGCAACGCGCCAGACACACTTCATGAACTTTGTAAGCAGCACGCAGCGACCGGGAAACCCGCCCGGCGAGTCTACGGCCGCCTCCTGACTCGCTCGACTATCATGGGGAGCAGGCAGGCAGGAAGAGGACAGACCGGATCACAGCCTCGTAACCCGAAGTCCGGGCTGCACCTCTCGAGACTGGCTGGTGCGGTAAAGTGGGTTGAGTAAGGAGAGCCACGGTGGCCGAGATGGCTGCGGCTGGAAGGCGACCGCGCATGCAGAGAAGCGCAAGGTCCCCCCAGCGCATCACCACCAACCCTCCGACCTCCGCCCCCGCCGCCTCCCCGCGCCCTCGCACTCACCGGCCTTGGGGCTCCTCGGCCGATGCCAGCCTCGGCCCCACGGGCAGGTGAGTGGACAGCAGGTACAGCGCGAAGGTGCAGCCGCCGAATACCAGGAACAGGCCGAACAGCGCACGCATGCCGCGGCCGGGCCGGAGAGCGCGCTCCCCGCCTGCCAGCGCTGAGCCCTTCCCCGTGCGCCGACTGGGCGGGCGGAGCGTGTTCGTCGACGGACGAGGGCGTGGTCTGCTCAAAACACCGCCCCGCCGCGCTGGAGACCCCGCCCCCTCCAGGACTGTGAGAGCAGGCTTGTCTGTGTGCTCCTGCCATCTCTGCACTGAGCTTCTCCAGCTCTGCCCCTGCATCAGAGCTGGGAGACCTAGGGGTGAGTTGTGAGCCTGCCACAGCCAGCTTGCAGCATGGTGGTCAGACAGTCTGGTCCATAGTCTGTCACACAAAGCAAATGTAGCCAGCAAATGTGGAACCGGCGCTGATGGTGACCACCACAGAAATAAGGAGACTTGCCTTCTATTCAGCACCTAATGGGTGCTCCCTATCCCCAATCCTTATAAACACACTTCAGTATGTCTCTCTCTCTCTCTCTCTCTCTCTCTCTCTCTCTCTCTCTTCTCTCTCTCTCTCTCTTTCTCTCTCTTTTTCTGGTTTTTCGAGACAGGGTTTCCCTGTGTAGCTATGGAGCCTGTCTTGGAACTAGCTCTTTTAGACCAGGCTAGTCTCGAACTCACAGAGATCCGCCTGTCTCTGCCTCCCAAGCGCTGGGATTAAAGGCGTGAGCCACCACCACGCAGCTTCAGTATGTGTCCTAACGGATGAAAATAAAATCTCAGTGTTATGACTCTTGGCCAGGAGTGAACCCATCTGAGTCTTAGAGTCGCTGTTGCTTGACCTGGTGGTCATGTGATTGAACCCCGCCCTTGAGGAGGAGGACCCAGAGCTCAGTCATTCTTAAATACTACGAAAAATCTAGAAAGGGGCAGCATAGGAGGGTAAGGAGAATGACATCTCCCAAAAGAAAACCCAGATTCAGATATCCAAAACTAGTGTGGCCTTGTGACACTGTGTGGGTTCTGAAAGAGGCGGTTTGAGTTTGCCCTCTGGGATGAGCAAGCAGACAGAAGAAAGAGCTAGCGAGCTGGCCCTAGGTAAGCCAGCCTTCAGGGAGGCCCGGAGCTTGTGAGAAATGAATGAGAATTGACACCTTGGAGAGTGCTAGAGAATAGGCTACAGAATTAGCGCTTCAATAAATTATAGGTGGTAGGATAAACCTGGAAGCATTTAATAAGAATGATTCCACTAGCCAGACATGGTGCTGCGTGTCTGTAATGCCAGCCCTTGGGAAGCTGAGGCAGGATGGACACTGTGAAGGCGGCCTGGGGTTAACAATGAGAACCTGTCTTCGAAAACAGGGAGGGGGAGGGGAAAGATTCCATTCTCATCTGAAAACGACTACATGCCAGAGCAAGTGGAACACACTGTGAGTTAACAGCAAACGCCCTGATGGAAAAGCAAAAAACAAAACAAGGAAGGACCACAGCAGTGGGAACAGAGCAAGAGGGACAGGCTGCACAGTGGAGACATGAAGTGACTGACTGACACACTGGGGGAAGACTTCAAAGGGTCAAAAGATACAAAGCACTTCAGAGCATTTCTTGTGTCATACAGGGAACGTGTGTCAAAACCATACCAGAGTACAAGATCCTAGCAGCTGGACATGCAAGAACTGAATCCACAAATACCCTTGGCACACACACACTCTCAGCCCCCAAGCAGGGCAGCTCACAACCAACTATTATTCCAGTTCCAGAGGATCTGACACCATAGCCATAATTAAATATAAAGAAAATAGCATTTTTAAGATTGATTTATTTATTATGTATATAACATTCTGCTTCCATGTATATCTGCACACCAGAAGAGGGAACCAGATCTCATAACAGATGGTTGTGAGCCACCATGTGGTTGCTGGGAATTGAACTCAGGACCTCTGGAAGAGCAGAAAGTGCTCTTAACCTCTGAGCCATCTCTCCAGACCCAAGGAAATAGTATTTTTTAAACCACAGTGTGAACATCTCAGGAAGAGGAATGACACCCAACGTTGTCTGTTAGTCTCCATATGTACCACAGGTACACATACATCTACACATAACCATGAACACACACACACACACACACACACACACACACACACACATGCATATACACATGCAAAATCCTTTCTTGGGCTATAATTTCAATAATGTACATTAAAAGAAAATAACTGTTTCAAGGAGAGAAGAAATAAATAGCCCCATTTTGTGCTCACAGTTCTGGCAAAGGGCCCAACACTATGTCAGACAGACCATTGCCTTGGGCCTCTAGCAAGGTGGCACATGATGATGGGAGCATGTGGGGAGCATGACTGCTCATACCATGAGCAAGAAGAAAAGACACTAAGAGACTGGGGTCCCACAATGACCTGGGGTAAGTCTGCAGTTTTCACTTGCTAAGGGCACTGTTTGCTACCTCCCAGGAGTCCACTGCACCAGTGGAAGAAGGGAGTGTTCAAAGAGCATGGAAGAGGCCTTGTGTGCTGTGACTGGAAATGAGGTCTGAGTGGACTCCTGAAAGAGAGGACATAAGAGCAAAGATCTGAATGGTGGGTGGCAGAGAACTAAGGAGCTCAGAGTACATTCAAATTGAATTGTGTCACTCATTTGGCATTCAACAGATATACAGGCAAAGGAGGAAAGGCGAAGATAAGAAATGGATCCCAAAGCTCCTTGGTGCTAGGCATGGTGGCCCACAGCTGCATACACCCAGCACCAGGGAGGCTGAGGTAAGAAGATCCCAAGTTCAAGGCCAGACTGAGCATCAGAGCAGCACCCTGATTCGGGAAAGCAAATGTTTTCAGAGAGGAGAAAGGTTTGGGGAAGTGAGTTGCAGCCCCTTCAGCTCCTTTCACCATTACCATTGAAACAATTTCTACTCCACAACAGACTTCCTTCCCTTCATTCTCCCATTCATTCATCAATCCACCCATTCTCCCGTAGCAGCTACTCAAGGCCTGTATCAGCTCAGTGCTGTGCTAAAAAACCCAGGGGTTCCAATAGTTTGCAATTTGATAGAAATTTCCATTTTTGTCATTTGCACAGTTATTTTTGGCCCTCTGGAATCGAGGGAAAGATGACTAGTGGCTATACTAATATAGGACCAATAAAGACCTCTGGAATCAAAGCCCTTCACCATATCCACTGTCCACAGTGGCTGAAGAAATTTGAGGAGTGTGACAGGGTGCTCCTCCACCCAGAGTTCAGCCATCTCGTCCTTAAACAAAGCAGACTCTTGCCATGTACGAAAGCCTAGAAGATGTGTAGTACTGTGGTAGCTATCCTTGGCCGTCAACTTGACGACATCTGGAATTAACTAAAACTCAAATGTCTGGGCACACCTCAGTTAAGTCATTTAGATTGAGAAGTTCCACCTTTAATCTGGTTCTTTGAGATGAGAAGATGCACACCTTCTGCCCAGCCTATGTTAAGGATGTGAAAGAAGGAAGCTTGCTTTCTTTACTTGCTTGTTCTCAATGGCAAGTCTGCTGTAAAATAATCCTTTTGTGCATATATATCACTATGATTGGTTTAATAAACAAGCTGACTGGCCAATAGCTGAACAGGATAAAGTTAGACAGGAAAGCCAAAGTGAGAATGCTGGGATGAGGAAGGGCAGAGTCAGAAAAACTGCCAGCCAGATGGGGAATGAGTCTGACACACAAAATGGGATAGAGGTAAAAGCCACAAGCCTCGGGGCAGCACATAGATTAATAGAGATGGGATAAATTGTAAGAGCTAGTTAGTAACACGCCTGAACTATTGGCTGATCATTTAAAATTTATATTAAGTCAGTTATTTGGGAAGTGGCTGCCAGTTATTTGGGAGCAGGTGATTGGGACAGGAAAACTCCACCCACCCACACAAGTCCATTTCCTTCCCTGGCATTACAGTCTACTTCTTTGGCCTTCTGTCGTATACAGAAGACCAGCTGAGACATCCGGCCTCGTGGACTGAACAACTGAATTCTAAGACTTTCTGTTGGCCATTGTTGGAATAGCTGGACCACAACCAATAAGACATTCTAATAAATCCCCTTCATATATATATATATATATATATATATATATATATAATATTTTATTTATACACACACATACACACACACACACACCCTGTTTCTCTAGAGAGACCCTGATTAATAAAGGTACCATGATGTTAACTGTTGGCATAACAGAAGTTAGTCACCTGGGAATGTCTTTGGGAAATTCTCTTGATTTCATTTATTGAAGAGGAAAGACCTGTCTACCATTCCCTAGTCAGGGGATCTGAATTGTGTAAGAGCTGAGGTACAGGTCCAGTAAAATAGCTCAGCTGGATTATTTGTAATAGCCAGAACCTGGAACAACCTAGATGTCCCTCAGCCGAAGAATGGATAAAGAAAATGTGGTACATTTACACAATGGAGTACTACTCAGTGGTTAAAAAAAAAAAAAAATGCCATCTTGAAATTTGTAGGCAAATGGATGGAATTAGAAAAAACCGTCCCAAAGCCGGGTGCTGGTGGTGCACACCTTTGATTCCAACACTCAGGAAGCAGAGGCAGGTGGATCTCTTTGAGTTCTAGGCCAGCCTGGTCTACAGAGCCAGTTCCAGGACAGGCGCCAAAACAATACAGAGAAACCCTAGAGCACAAATGGACGTTGTGAGCTCATTCCCTATGGAGGGATACTATTGCAGCCCAGATACAGCAAGGAGGGCCTATGCCCTTCCCCCACAGATCTGACACCCTTTGAAGGTCCCTGGTGGAGGGCCTCACTATCCCTGGGGAGGAGTTGGGGGATGGGTAGGAAGGGGTTGGTGGGGAACATGGGAGGATGGAAGGGCAAGAGAATGGGGGGATGGATATGTAAATATGAGTAGTGATTAAAGAATTTAAATAAAAAAGGAAAAAATGTTCAATAAATACATCAAACAAAAAAAGAAAAGAAAAGAAAAGAAAGGAAAAGAGAAGAAAAGAAAAAAAACATCCCAAGTGATGTAACCCAGATCCAGAAAGACAAACACAGAATATTCACTCATAAGTGGATATTAGATGTAAAGTAAAAGATAATCAGGCTACAATCCACAACCCCAGAGAAGTTAGGTGCTGAGAGCCCTTATCATTTATCACAAAAGTAGCAATTAATATTCTAGGTATCAACCAACCAGATTTAACTTCTGATGGAGAAAAATTGCCTTGCAAAACGCCTGCAAGAAATACAGACTCCATAATATCTGTTGCTATGAATTTGGCTGTATAATCTTGATACATAGAATACATACTTTATAGTCTCAAAAAAGGCCCCAGAGAAAGGAAATTCCTTCTCACCAGGGAGTCACGGGTAAGAGCCCTAATGGCTTACCCTGAGGCTGGAAGCAACAGCCTCCAGATCTCACATAGCCTTTCCCTCTGATCTAGTGCTGGGAAGAAATGCTAATGCAGATCAAAAGACCCATTTTCCTTCCACAGCTTATGCAAGTCGCCATGGCTACCATGATGCTATGTTTCCAGCTACCTAGAAAGCAAAACCCAGTGCATACAATGTTTCTTCCTTTTTTTTACATTTATCAACTATAAACTTCTGGTGTTTCTTCCCTTTTTTTTTTACACTTATCAATTATAAGTTTCTAGTTTAACTAATCACATAAATGTAGTTTACATACTAAAATCCTTTGTCCCTTCTTAGCGATCATACTCCCTTAGTCCTTTCCCACCTCTAAAACTGTGCCTGGATGTTTTACAAGTCATGTCTCTTCTGAGACATGGGACACCCTGCTTTTATCAAGACCTTACCTGCCTTCCTGGCCTTGAGAGATATGCACACCTGGTATCCTTGCTATTGCCAGAGAATTGCTAATTGTGTCTGCGGGCATGTAAACTGGAAATCTTGTGGGATCTAGGGGAATTTTCAAAAAGAACTTTTTTTTTTTTTTTTTTTTTTTGTTTTTTTTTTTTAGAAAGGGTTTTTCTTGGAGCCTATCCTGGCACTCGCTGTGGAGACCAGGCTGGCCTTGAACTCACAGAGATCCTTCTGCCTCTGCCTCCCGAGTGCTGGGATTAAAGACGCACACCACCGACGCCAGACTAAAAAGAACTTCTAAAGAGAACTTTAAAAAAAAAAAAAAAAAAAAAAAAAAAAAAAAAAGATTTATTTATTGTGTATACAGTATTCTGTCTGCATGTATGCTTACAGGCCAGAAGAGGGTGCCAGATCTCATTACAGATGGTTGTGAGCCACCATATGGTTGCTGGGAATTGAACTCAGGACCTCTGGAAAAGCAGCCAGTTCTCTTAACCTCTGAACTATCTCTTCAACTATCTCTAAAGAGAACTTTTAAAGACAACTTTTGAAAAGAACTTTTGAGGAGAAATTTTAGAGAGAACTTTTAGAGAGAAACATTTGAAGAGAACTTTAGGGGAAAGAACTCTTTTTGAAGAATGAAGAGCCTTAAGAAAAAAAAAAAAAAAGAGCCTTGAGAATAATAGTGTATGAACTGATTAGTTCACCCTCAGACCTTTTTAGTCAGCCTTACCGGTTTGCTGTAAGCCCTTAGCCTGGACCTTGCGAGGACACTAAGGCTGGAACTCAGAGGTTCTTGAGGTTCGGGAGGCAGAGGTAGGCAGATCTCTGTGAGTTCAAGGCCAGCCTGGTCTCCAGAGTGAGTGCCAGGATAGGCTCCAAAGCTACACAGAGAAACCCTGTCTCAAAAACAAAAAACAAAAAAAGGGAGGGGACCCTAAAAGGGACACACATGGAGGGCCCTAGGAAGGGAAAGTAGTTAAGATCTCCTGGGTGAAAAGTTTCTACACCCCAATAAGCCAATGTGGCAATCCAAATCAAACCAAATTAGAAAAAGCCCATGTTTAATGGACACAACTCCGGATGGCCTTCCAGTCCCCCAGAGATGAGACTGGAAAGGGAGAACAGAAAAACCACGAGTCTGTTCTCTGGTGGGCAGTTTAAATACCCTGTGGGAGTGGTCTTGAGCATCTCCGGGGGAGGGGTCGTCATTTGGCAGGCTTTCTGAGATGCAGCAGGGTTTGGAGGGAGATAGGGAGGGGGCTTGGGTGGAATTTCCACCATAACACTCCAGACTCTGGGTATATGGATGCCAGGGGCTGGCATGAAGCTTCCACCTTAACACCGGATAAACTGGGAGGAGGTAAAAAGGAGGGGATGGGCATGGCAACATGAGGGACCAAGAAATTTTTTTTTTCTGCAGATTATTTTTTATTTGAATTAGAAGCAAGATTTTTTTTTACATGACAATCCCAGTTCCCTCTCCCTCCCCTCCTCCCCTACCACCCCCCCCCCAACTAAAACCCTACCTATCACATGTCCTTTCTGCCACCTCTTGATGGAGAGGCCAAGAAGACTATATTTATAGGGATCCAGGCGTTATGCTGGCCTGCCCCTGTCACCTGGCAGAATGCACTCAGGCAATATCCTGGTCAGCCCAGAGTTCCATGGAGTCTGCACGCAGGTGCAAAGGACCCCTTTAAAAGAAAGACCCCGCCCACTTAACCGTCTTTTTGCCTGCTCATCTCTTTCTGCTCTCTTCTCTTTCCTGCTCCTCTCTTCCCTGCTGTTCCCCTGGGGCAGACTGGACGGACTTTTCCTGCCTCCCTCTTCTCTCCTGTCCTCTCTCTCTCTGTCTCTGTGTCTCTTTACCTGTTTTCTCTTCCCTTCCCCGTTCCATCTCTGTTCTTGGTTGGCCAACACCCACCCCTCCCTTCACTCTTTTTCCCAATAAACGCCATGTGGGTTTGTGGAGTTTTGTGGTTGTGTTTCATCACCCGCACCCGCAGCAAACAACAATGTTGGGGAAGGGACAGAGGGGGAGAGCAATGAGAGAGATGTCTTGATAGAAGGAGCCATTGTGAGGTAAGGGAGAAACCTGGGGCTAGAGAAATTCTCAGGAATCCACACAGATGACCCCAGCTGAGACTCCTAGCAATAAGGAAGAGGGTCTCTGAAGAGACCTTCCCCTTTAATCAGATTAATGACAGTCCTAATTGTCGTCATAGAGCCTACATCCAGTAACTGATGGAAGCAGATGCAGTGACCCACAGACAAGCACTGGGCTGAGCTCCAGGAGTTCAGGTGAACAGACGGAGGAGGGAATCATGTGAACAAGGAGGCGCAAGAGCATGATGGGAAAAACACAGAGACAGCTGACCCAAGTTAATGGGAGCTCGTGGACTATGGATCGACAGCTGGGGAATCTGCATGGTACCAAACTAGACCCTTTGAATGTGGGTGACAGTTATGTGACTTAATCTGTTGGGGGTGGGTGTCGGCACTGGCACCAGGACCTATCCCAGGTGCATGAACTGGCTTTATGGAGCCCATTTTCTGTGGTGGGATACCTTGCTCAGCCTTGATACAGCAGGGAGGAGATTGGTCCTGCCTCAACTTGGTATGCCAGACTTTGCTGACTCCCCAAGGAAGGCCTTACAGAGGGAGAGGTTGAAAAGGGGGAGGAGGGGGAACTGGAATTGGTATGTAAAATGAAAAATAAAACCTTTTAAATAAAAAAGATGGCTCAGCTGGTATATATGCTTGCCTCTCAGCCTGACGACCGCATTCCTGGGACCCACACTTTGGAAGGAGAGAACTCACTCCCACAAGCTGTCTTCAGGCCTCCACATGTATACCTACATGTGTGAACACACAAATACACACACAATGTAAAATAAAAAAATGTAATAATTTCTTAAATGTGTCAAGAAACAGAGCTGAACACTAGCAAGCATGCATTCATCACCCTGTTTCTTGACTGTGGCTGTGATATGGCCAGCTGCCTCCAAGATCCTCTACCTTGACTGTGGGCTGAAAGAAACCCTTTCTCCCTCAAGTTGTTTTTGTCAGGGTATTTTACCATAGCAACAAGAAAAGAAACTAAAATAATGTGGATTTCAACCCATTTGCTCATGGCATCCATTTCTTTACAACAGCTGAGGCAGTTCGATGAGATGAAGAGAAGTGTACTGGGCCTGTGGCACCTTCTGGGAGTGGCCATGGCTGTGGGGTGGGTGGGAGCCACCTTCACACCAGGCGTCTAGACCCTCTAATTATCCTGTCATTTTACCCCTCCCTGTCACTGGCCCTCTGGGATCTCTTAACTTGGCTGCAGGTCTCTTCTTCCTCCAGGGAAGCTTCAGAAGACTTCCTGAAGGTTTCATGCACCAAGAACTGGGCCATGCTCTGCATTCACGGGGGCCCCACAAGTTAGAGCATTGTGGCAGAAAGTTAGCACTGGTGGGGTGTGCACTATTTGTTTCTATTTTGCATCTCTGCATCTTAAAGAATTTCCTAGCCTAGTTAATGGATTAACCAACAACCAGGGACGAAACCATTCTTAAGGATGGCTTTAAATAAAGTCTGGAGCTGAGATCAGGGCTCACTGGACCTAGTGTGTTCAATCCCAGGGCAGAAAAACTGTCCTGTAATTGATGCTTTTGCAACGTCAAAGCAAGCCCGTTATTTTTTTTTTTTCCTCCAGCCTCTCTCTCTGCATGGTCCACGAGTGATGCTGCTCCTGTTTCTTCTCCTTCCTCCCACTTAGTGCCTGGTGTCTCAGTACAGACCTTGGGGCTCTGAGTCCATCCCAGCCTCTGGCTATCAGCATCACTTCAGAAATGGCTGGAAGCCAGAGCCTTCTTGCCACCCCAAAATCCAGTCCAGGAGAGAGGCTGGTATTGAAAAGGAGAGGTTTCATATCTATACATGAGAGCTAAGCCATATCAAAATAAAAGCATATTCACATTGTGGACTCAGGGGATTTCACAAACCCTAGACTAGCCTTCCCAACCTACACTTCCCCATGAGGTAGTCCGATTTGTTCTCCGATGGTGGAGGAGTGGGCCCAAGGGGAACGAAAATCCAGTGAGGCCTCTAGCCTTCACTCCACTCCCGAGATGCCTGACCCATGGCCCTGAGGGTGTGACATGACAGGCAACAGAGCTGACAGTTCGGAACAAGCGAGGCCCAGGACGTGGCCGGACAAAGCGCTCTGCTGTCGGGAGCCCAGCTATTTCTGTCTTGCCCTAGTTAGGGGCTCCCCTCCCAGAGCTGTTTCATAACCACAGGTCCTTTGACATTTCATGATGTGACATCCATGAGACACTGCTGAAAATAACCTTGGGTTTTTTTCCATGCTTTTGGAGCCTTCAGGACGAAGTAGGGTGAGGCATCAAGAGCCTGGAGCCGTAGAGATCCTGGTGTCACTGCTGTCCGTGTGTTCAGACAGGAGCTACACCCACTACTTTGCGCACAGAATAGGTTGGAAGAACGTCTCAACATTTTCCATAAGGACAAGATCATACCGACACAAGTGAGGCCTGGGGAAACCAAAGACCCTCGTCAGTGAACTGTCAAAACCTCCAGTCTAGTTAGGTGAGCACCTCCTTCCAGTGTGGATTGTAGAGCAGTTGTTTCTAATGAGACAGGCAAATGGCTAGGGAAGGCATTCGTGCACAAGAAAGCAGGGTGTGGAATCTCATTCAACTCTACTACACTTTTTTTTTTAATATTTATTTTATAGCCCAGTGGTGGCACATGCCTTTAATTCCCAGCACTTGGGAGGCAGAGGCAGGCAGATCTCTGTGAGTTCGAGGCCAGCATGGGCTATAGAGGGAGTTCCAGGACAGCCAGAGCTGTTACACAGAGAAACCCTGTCTTGAAGAAATTTTGTTTTATATGTATGAGTGTTACACCTTCGTGTATGCTAGGCACCGGTGGAGACCAGATGAGGGCGTCAGATTCCCTGTAACTGCAGTTTATAGATGGTTGTGGGGCACCATGTGGGTGCTAGGAATGAACCCAGGTCCTCTATTCCGCTCTCAATTCTTCCACCTCTACTTTGCAAGTGCTGGGATATAAACCACCACCTGGCTCTTTTTTTTGCTTTGAAACGGGTTAGGGGTGAGTTGCCGGGTTTGCCCTGGACTCATGTAGCCTCTTCAGTCCTTGAACTTTAGATCACGGCCCTGACACACAGCCTCCAGACCAGCTAGGAATACAGACCTGCACTGCCAGGCCAAGAAAAAAATGTTTTGATCAATTAATTAAAAGACCCTATTATAAGATATAATGAATACCCTTTTAAAGAATCTTTTATTGTAAATATTTTTGCAGTACACCATTTTTTTTTTCTGTTTGTTTTCAAGACAGGTTTCTCTGTGTAACAGTCCTGGCTTTTCTGGAACTCACTTTGTAGACCAGGCTGGCCTTGAATTCACAGAGATCTGCTTCCCAAGTGCTGGGATGAAAGGTGTGTGCCATCATTGCCTGACACAGAACCCTAATTTTTTTTTTTTTTTTTTTGAGATTAGGGTTTCTCTGTGTAGCTTTGGAGCCTGTCCTGGAACTCACTCTATAGACCAGGCTGGCCTTGAACTCACAGAGATCCACCTGCCTCTGCCTCCCAAGTGCTGGGATTAAAGTCACAAGCCACCAACCCCCGTCCAGAACCCTAAATTTTTAATTAAAAGAAACTCATCATTTTGAAGCCTGAGGCAGGAGAATTGCCACAGGTTTGAGGCCAGCCTGGGCTACATCATAATACCTTGCCTCAGAAGGAATGGAAGAAAGGAAAGAAGGAAGGAAGGAAGGAAGGAAGGAAGGAAGGAAGGAAGGAAGGAAGGAAAGAAGGGAGGGAGGGAGGAAGGAAGAAACGAACGAATGAACTAGAGGAGAGGAGGTAACAGGAATTTGCCCAACCTGCCTGTGGCTCACCTGTCTGGATGGACCAGGGACCTCAGCTTCATTCGAAGGACCCTGAGCTTGTACTTTGGACCGACAACAGACTTTGTGGAGAACAGCAAGGAAATTTCTGCCACTTTATCCAGATCTTGATTAAATCTTGCGAGTAGACTCACTTGATGGTATTTCTGAAATGTCGATGGTTCACTGGAAGAAATGGCATTTTAAAATGACTGTATATTGCTATGAGAGAAAGCTGCTTCCAGCCTCCAAGTCTTCATCACAGGTGACGACACTTCAGTCCCTTTGCCTGCACAGGCTGACTTAGTAAGCAAAGACCCCTGAGTTTGAAGGACTGCCTAAATGAAGCTATTGACCTCCAAAGTGACACTGGAAAAGCACTACTGTGACTGTCTACTGTGTTCAAGATGGTGTCTGAATCTCCGGCACATTCCTACAGCTGTTTGTGGAGCCCAGGCTGTCTGTGTGATAGGGCTTATATGCAACAGTGTGGAGATGAAACCCAGCACAGAGTTCTTCCGGCCCTGCCACGCATACTCTGTGAAGCCTTAGATGGGATTCCAGTCCCACTGGGGTAACAAACACCTGTGTGACTCCCCTAATCCCAATCTGAGACCTATGTCTGGAGCCAGCCCATTGCCCCAAACCCAGGGTGCTTGTCAGTTATCTGTGGCTTCCTTTCCCAGCTTCCCGGAAGAGTAAGAACAGTGCTGGGCTTCCTCAGAGAGAGATGCCTGAGGATCACTGGGGTTTCTGACTATGATGCACTGGATGTTACCAACAAAATTGCAACCATCTAGATTGAGTCCAGGTGCTAATTCTAAATATGTGCTATTTTCACCATTAAAAAAATGGAATGTGAAAGAAGCATTAAAGATGTTAAGGCTCCAATTCTGTCTCCCTTCCCCTCTCTCCCAGTACTGCAGATCACAGAACCATTCATGCAAGCCATCTACCACCGAGCAGCCTCCCAAATCTGCTTTTGACTTCTGTCTTTGCAACAGGACTTTACTAAGGTGCCCAGCCTATCCTTCAACACACTCCCTATCTTAAGTAGTCCTTGAATTTGCAATCCTCCAGCCCAACTTTCCAGGTTCGGCAGGTCTTACCTTACCATGAGGTCTGGAGAAGGTCACCTTCTTGTGTTTGCCTTTTCTCTTAAAGATTAGCTCTTAAAAGATAATTGTTCAATTACACATATAGGCTATCTATCATCTATCTACTTCTCTATCAGCCTCTCTATCTCATCTCTATCTCTCTGTCTGTCTGTCTGTCTGTCTCACCCTCTCTATCTTTGTGTACAGATGTAAGCATGCATGGTGCAATGTAGGTCAGAGAACAACTTGTGGGGGGAGTTGGTTTTCACATTCCATCGGGCTTAGCAACAAATGATTTTTGCTCACTGAGCCAACTCACTGGTCCAGGGCCTTGATCTTAACCAAGAAGTAAAGGCAAAAGGGTAAGGTTACTTTGGACTACTTAGTAAGTTCAAATTTGGGATTCACATTTGATAAAGATTTATTCCATTAAAAAAAGAGGTTCTCCAATGTACGTAAAGGAAAGATGAAAACAGTGACTGGGGTGAACACCCAAATCCAGTCAGAGCCCTGCCCTGCTCTGCCCCGCCCCTCCTCTATGTGACCACACAGTGTCTTCCAGACCCCTTAAGTGCTGCATATTCTGAAAATACGGATTCCAGGTCAGATCTGTTCTGGTTCCCTCGCCTTAACTCATAGCCACGTACCACCTGAGGCTGGTTTTTCAAGATGCCCTCCCCACACTACCCTTTCAGAAACACTAGTCCACTGTGGGCATGGGGGTATCAGATCTGAAACAAATGAGTGGGGAACCCTGAAAAACACCACTATTCACAGACTTCAAGTGCCCAGGGTGGGGGCAGGTGTTAGCTCAGTGGGAGCAGCAGACTCAGTCATAGAGTGATGCAGGTACTTGGTGGACAGGCACGCTCCTCCCACCATACTCACACTGACTAGGTGTGTGGCACTGACCAAACCACTCAGCTCTCCAGCCTCGGTTTCTTCCTATGTAGAGTACATGGTATTAGCATCTCACAAGGTTTGGCCTAGAAACTCCCTAAGCAATGTGTGCCGTACTCTTGATTCAATAACCAAAAACTACTATTATAAATGCAAGCTATATATTTTTAAAGGCACTGACTTAGTTTGCTTTCTATTGCTGCAATAGAAGTGACCAAGAATAATTTGGGAAGGAGAGAGTTTATTTAACTTATGCATCTGATCACTGTCCATCACTGAGGGAATTCTAGCACAGCAAGAACTAAAGTAGAGGCCATGAAGGAACACTGCTGGCTGGCCTGCTCTCCATGGCTTGTTCAGCCTGCTTTCTTATACAACCCAGGCCCACTTGCCCAAGAACTGTTTAATAAAATGTGGGGGTTTGTTTGTTTCAAAAAAAATGAAAACATTTGAAAAACAGAATCTGGGAGACTGGAGAGATGGCCTGGCGATTAAGAGCACTGGCTGCTCTTCCAGAGAACCCGGGTTCAATTCCCAGCAACCGCATAATGGCACACAACCGTCTATAATGGTATCTGGTGCCCTCTTCTGGCCTGCAGGCATATATACATATATGCATAATAAATCTTTTAGAAAAAGAAAAGAGCCAGGCACTGGTGGCGCAGGCATTTAGTCCCAGCACTTGGGAGGCAGAGGCAGGCGGATTTCTGTGAGTTTGAGACCAGCCTGGTCTACAAGAGCTAGTTCCAGGACAGCCTCCAAAGCCACAGAGAAACCCTGCCTTGAACCTCCCCACTCAAAAAAAAAAAAAAAAAAAAAAAAAAAAAAAAAAAAAAGTTTTTAAAATTTCCTTGAATTTTTTTTTTCCCGCGCCGCCTGCCTCTACCTCCCGAGTGCTGGGATTAAAGGCATGGCCACCAATGCCTGGCTGCATTTTTATATTGTGTATTCCTCTGTATTTTTAAATTAATATTATTTTGTATTGACAAATCATACTTACATGAATTTGTGGAATATGATTAACAATAACAAACACACACACACATGTATAAAATATGCATACACAATGTAAAATGCTTGAGTCTGCACATCCCTTTTTTGGGAGTGATGTTGTTATTATAGTTGTTTATATGTGTGGGGTGTTTGTCTGCATGTCTGTCTGGGTACCACTTGTACATGCTTAGTACCTTTGGAAGACAGAAGAGGGCATCAGATGCTCAGATGCTCTGGAGCTGGAGTTATGGGTGGTTGTGAGCCACTGCAGGGGCTCTAGGAACTGATCTGATCCTCTGGAATAGCAGCCAGTGCTTTTAACTGCAGAGCATCACTCCAGCCTATTTGGGGTTTTGCAATAGTTCTACTACATGAGCCCCGCTGGTCTTACACTCCCTGTAGAGTCCAGGCTAGCCTAACACTTGCCCCGGTCCTCCTGACCCTGCCTCCCAAGTGCTGTGATTTCAGGTGTGTTCTGCCAGTGCAGCTTGACCAGCACAGTCCTTCATGGCTTGAACTTTTACAGAAGGCATGAATGATTTTTAGTTTTAAACATGGAATTGTTGGAAATAAAAAGAGAAGAAAGAAAAATGAAAACAAGCAAGAGAGAGACACAGAGAAGGGGGGAGAAAGGCAGGAGGGGGGATGGAAAGAAGGGGAGGGGAGAGCTGGAGAGATGGCTCAGAGGTTAAGAATGAAGGGACCAGCTCCCCTTTTCGGCAGCCATGACAGTAACACGTGCTTTTCTGACCTTGTCTTGGTCACTAGGAGGTCAGATGCCTGCCTGGTGGCAAGGAACCAATCAGAAGTTAGCTGGTGGCACTATGCTTTATGGCTCTGGGTGTGCTTTATGGACAAGCAATGATGCGCAGAGCATAACAACCACCCTGGGAGGGCCTATGGGCCATAACAACCAGTTGGCCAATCAACACAGGACAAGTCCTCCAAGCCTGGAGGCACATCAATCCTGAGCCTTTGCGTACCCCTAGACACTCCCTTTATGCTGCCCTACAAAATCTCTATGCAGCTGGTTGTTAGCCATCCGCCATGGCAGGTAGGTGAAAGAACCGAGCTAACGGGTGGGGTTAGCTCATTAAACAACAATAAAGCCTCATGCAGTTTGCAGCAAGCTTTCGAATCCACCTGGTGATTGGAGTAACCGTGGTCCTGGGCTGAGACCCCGGAGGCCTGAGTTTTCTGGGGGTATAACAAAGAACACTGGCTGTTCTTCCAGAGGACCTGAGTTCAATTCCCAGCAACCACATAGTGGTTCACAACCTTCTGTAATGAGATCTGGTGCCTTCTTCTGTTGTGCAAGCATGCATGCAGATAACTGTATACATAAAAAGTAAATAAAATCTTTAAAAAAAAAGAAGTAGAGGAGAAGGGAAGGAAGCCACTGTACCCACTGTACCCACTGCTCTTGTAGAAAGCAAAGGTGAACAATGGGCAGAGCAAGCCCATGAACAAGCGTCCCTTCTGCCTTCAGAAGCACAAAGAAGGCCACAGGATGCTAAGTGACAAGGACATCTCAACTAGCAAACCCAAGCTTGGAGCTTAACTTACTGATCAATTCTGGATTCTGTGATATTTCCATCTTCGCCTCTCAGTTTGATTGTAATGAACCCTCTTCTTACGTTCTTATTCCAAGATATAATGTCCACAAAATAATGATACACTGTAAAACAGGGAGAGAACCCATAAGAGAGGTACCCCAGAACTCTCCTGTAGAGCCAGGTCTCAAAAGACAAGATCCCTTTTTTTTTCCCTCTGTAGTTTCTCTGCAAAGATCCAGGAAGGTATTTTCTTTAACCTTTAATGTTGTTGTTTTTTTTGAGTCCAGGTCCTTCAAACTCACTATGAAGGTGAGGATGACCTACAGGTGTGTGCCACCATAGCCATACCAGGCCGCCCACGATGGGATTTTCTACTTCTTGCTCTTCCCTATGGTACAGATGCCATGGGTGACAGCAGAGCTCAGTGCTCTCTCTCTAGTGACCATGAGCAGGGATCATACATAGGCTGGCAGGTATGTTCAACCTTTTGACTCAGCCAAAAAGTTCATGCTAAAGAATGCTATAATCCAGTTGACAAAAACAAACAAACAAACAAACAAAAAACACAAAATAATCTCGTGATGTTTTAAGTGAACTTACTATCATTTTGTGTGGAGTTGCTCTTGCAAACAGTGCTTGAATTATGGAAAATTTTAACTTTTCCTGCCATTATTTCTCAGCATGCCAGTGCCACATTGGGATAGTTTTGGATTGTACTGTGGCAGAATGTTTGGTTTTAAAAATCACTGTCGGAGGCTGGCAAGATGGCTCACTGGAAAGGCACTTGCTGCCAGTTCTGACAACCTGAATTTGATCAAGAATGGATTCCTGCAAGTCGTCCTCTAGCCTCCACTCACAGGCTGTTCCAGAACATACACACACACACACATACACACACACACCACACACACACACACACACACACACAAACACACACCACACACACACTACACACACACCACACACAAATACACACACACCACACACACATACACCACACACACACACCACACACAAATACACACACACCACACACACATACACACACACACCACACACACCACACACACACACACTTATCATTAAAAATAAATAAATAAATAAATAAATAAATAAATAAATAAATGAAGCAATGGCTCAAAAGTTAAGAGCACTGGCTGCTTTTCCAAGGACCATGGTTCAATTCCTAGCATCCCCATGGTGACTCACAAACATCTCTAACTCCAGTTTCAGGGGACCTAGAACACTCTTTTGGCATTTGTGGGCACCATTCACATGGTACACAGACACACATGCAGGCAAAATACTCATCCACATAAAACAGATAAATAAAATACTTTAAAAATAAAAACAACTAAAGGAGTTCTGACTTGGGATAAGGACAGAATTCCTGACAATTGATGGTACACCTTCTGCCATTTTGCTCTGCTTGTCCATGGTTATTATAAAACGAGAATGCTGATGAGCTCTGTAAAACACCAACGATGCCCTGTATGAAGCAGTAGTAGATATTTAACCAAGAGTTAGCTCCTTAGGGAAAAGAGCTTGTCTATCTCATCAGAATATAATTTTGCTTTTGTCTTTAATAAATTATAAATTATATTTATATACCCAAGAATTATTTTTAAACAACCTTATTTATGATTTATTATCAGCGAATGTTTCATTTCTGTGTCAAAATTTTACCTTTTTGTTTGTGAGCCTAGCCTTTAACAGCCAAGCCATTCATCCCTCTAGCCTCTGTATCAGTTTTATACACCTGCCTATTTGGGGATGTCTGAAATGTTCACAGACTGACCCCCTTGGAGCCCACAGGCCACTCCTGCCTGGGAAGCAGGTAGACTACAGATCTTCACCTCTCCCACCGTTTCTATGTGTCCAATGCCCCAGTCTCATCCCCAGCTCTGTAGCAGAACAACTGCTAACCAAGCAAGTGAAAGATGTGTATGGTAAAAACTTCAAGTCATTGAAGAAAGAAACTGAAGAAGATATTAGAAGATGGAAAGATCTCCCATGCTCATAGATTAATAAAAACGGCCATCCTACAAAAAAAAAATCATCTACAGATTCAACGAAATCCCCATAAAAATTCCAACAAAATTCTTCAAGACCTTGAAAGGACAATTTTCAACTTAGTATGGAAACCCCCAAAACCCAGGATAGGAACTAGAGGTGGTGGTATACACCTTTAATCCCAGCACTTGGGAGGCAGAGGCAGGAGTTCAAGGCCTGCCTGGACCACAAAGAGAGTTTTAGGACAGCCAGGGATACACAGAGAAACCCTGTCTCAAAAAACAAAACATAAAACAGGGTAGATAAATTCTGAACAATAAATAACTGCAAGAGGTATCACCATTCCTAATTACAAAGCTATAGTAACAAAAACAGCATGGTATTGGCACAAAAAAACAGACACAATGATCAATGGAATCAAATTAAAGACCCAGACAAAAATCCACACACCTATGGACACCTGATTTTTGATAAAGAGGCCAAAAATACACACTGGAAAAATGACAGCATCTTCAACAAATGGTACTGGTCAAACTGGATGGCTGCATGTGTAAGAATCCAAATAGATCAATACTTATCACCCTGCACAAAACTCAGCTCCAAATGAATCAAAGACCAACATAAAACCAGATACACTGAACCTGATAGAAGAGGAAAAGGAGAGTATCTTTGAACTATTGGCACAGAAGACTTTCTGAGCAGAACACTGATAGGGCAGGCACTAAGATCAACAATTAGTAAAAGGGACCTCATGAAACTGAAAAGCTTCCATAAGGCAAAGGACACCATCCTTTGAACATAGTGGCAGCCTACAGAATGGAAATACATTTTTACCAACTATTTATTCGATAGAGGACTAATATCCAAAATATATAAATAAATTAAGAAACTGGATATCAAGAAAAAATAACCCAATTAAAAATGGGGTGCTGATCTAAACAGAGAACTCTCAATAGAAAAAAAACTGAAATGGCTGAAAAACACTTTAAAATATTCCAAATCCTTACTCATCAGGGAAATGCTAATCAAAATGACTCTGAGATTCCATCTTGCACCTGTCAGATTGGCTAAGATGGACAAAACAAGTGATAGTTCATGCTGGAGAGGGTGTGGAATAAGAACACACTCATCCATTGTTGCTGGGAGTGCAAAGTTGTATGGCCACTATGGAAGTCAATCTACCTCAAGATCCAGCACTAGGGCATAGACCCAAAGGATGCTTCACCCTACCACAGAGACACTTGTTCAACCATGTTCATTGCTCCTCTATTCATAATTGCCAGAACTGGAAGCATAGATGTTCCTCAACAGAAGAATGGATAAATGAGGTACATTTTGCACAATGGAGTATTATTACCCAGCTGTCAAAATAAAATGACATCATGAAATTTGCAAGCAAATGACTGGAACTAGAAAAAATCATCCTGAGTGAGGTATTTCAGAAAGACAAATACGGTATGTATCCGCTTATATGTAGACATTAGCTGTTAAGTCAATGATAACCAAGTTATAATCCATAGAACCACAGAGGGTAGGCATAGAGTAAGGGACTTAAGGGAACAGATGGATTTCATTAGGAAAGTGAAACAGAATAGATATGGATGGGGGCTGGAGCTGGAATGGGAGGATCAAATGGGGGAGGGGAGTGGAGAGGGAATACAGGGAGAGACAGCTAAAATAGATGAAAATAAAACATTATTTTCAAAAAAAAGAGAAAGAAATGTTCACAGACCAAGGGTCTGTGGGTGGTAGGTTCGAGAAGCCCCCAGTGTGGAACAGAACAGAACAAAGTGCGGCATCTACCTGTTTGTTCCTGACCCCAACTTCATATCTGTTAAAAAACAGTTTCCTGGAGGAATTCAGGTGACAGTGACTGTCCCGGGTGCTGGTACTGAGACTCAGGCTCACTTCAGTCCTAAGAACCTAGATGACCTGCATGCTTGGCTCCATTTACCAAACCAGCCCGTGATACTCAGAGAAGTTGACCAAAGTCACACAGCTCTTCTAGATAGAAGCTGTGTTACATTCTTTTATCTCCAGACACCAAGCTCTGTCTGCCACTGTCCTCATCAGCAAGCATCCAGAAAGCTACCACTCTGTCCTCCCCGGAAATGCCAGGGTCAGACAGAACAAGCAACACACATTCACCACTCACTGCAGAATGGTTTTTTCTCAGCTGTGTCGAAGAACGCCTTCATCATCGGAGGATCTTTGTCCATTAAGTAATCTTTCCAGTTATCAGCATAGTAGCCTAAAAACAAGTCAGAAACACCAACGTGTGTTACATAAATGTGAAAGCCACGGAGGACAAGACAACAGTAAGTTTGCAACAACTCTCTCCCACTCCTCCTCCAGCCCCCTCTGTGAGGACGAGAAAGGTCACCAGGAACATCATGTCAATGCTCTTACCTCTTGCTGGCTGTCCCCATCATAAGAACTGAAGTACAGAAAGGCCCTACTGTGTGTGACCTCTCCCTTACTGGCCCACAGTAGCTCAGCAGAATGGGAGTGGCACACACTGATCACACAGATAGTTTTCAGTCATGCATTCATTTTCAGCATTAAGCCAGGTTGAGACCCATACTTAAAACAGCACCACTATTCACTATTGCAAAGCAATCTCGTCTTGTTTGTTTCATTCTGAAGATAGGGCCCAGGCCTCATGAATGCAAATTATTCACTCTTTACACCAAGCAACACACACACACACACACACACACACACACACACACACACACACACACACACACACAGTGCTAGAAACCATTTCAGAGCCTTGAGCATGCTAGACAGGCATTCTTCCACCAAGCTGTATCCACGGCCTTTTTGTTTTGCTCTTTATTTTGATACAGAGTCTTGCTAAGTTACATAGGCCCACTGTGGTTGGTTTGTTTAATATTGTTTTGGAGATAGGACCTTGAACTTAGGATCCTCAATACCTGGGATTATAGGCCTGCTCTAGGCCCCAGACCTTTCTTGAGGAACTAAAATAAGGCCACTAAAGGGTACAGGATGTAGCTTGGTGTATAACTGTGTCACTGAGCCAGATGAATATCTCCACACAGTGAATGCCTCTGGGAGACAAGCTTGAATGCTGCCCAGTGGAGCCTCTTTCCATGTGTCAGGGAAAATCGGCCCCTCCTAGCCAACCAGTCTTGAAGTTCTGACTACCTAGAAAATGTCCTCTAACTGCTGGCAAATATCGAAGTGGTGTCTAGAGTATCTTTTCCCCTCCAGATCCTGGCATGTGAACACAGAGGCTTGAGTATAGAGGGAAAGCATTTATAGACACAACATGCTGAGAGACATCACTCTGCAAGGCTCAGCCTGAGCCAGGTCCCTAGCTCACTGTGGACCTTCCCCAGTCCAGCAGAGAGCTGTGTACACAGAGTGAGAGCTCCTGTCCCAACAAGGGCAGGCTCTGCAAAGCCTGAGGAGGCTTGCAGATGCTCTAGTGTGTTCTTTCCCGTGACAGAATAGTATGTGAAGGAGGGCTGCCACAACCTCCATGTGGAATCCAATGTAGACTGGTCTTCTAACACTGCATACAAGCTAGCTGCCACTTGTTGTTTTGGCTTTGGTGGGGGATGGGCAGGGGGAGGGGGGGCTAATGTTGTTTTTGAAAAAGAGGGTCTCTGTGTAACCCAGTCTAGCCCCAAACTCTCAATCCTTCCTGCAGAGCCGTCATGCCTAACCCTAACACTATAATTCAAGTCTAGAGTAGTTCAGAGAGCAAGCTGTCCAGGAAAAGTTGGTTCTAATGTTTGGGATAGCAGTACACTCTTGTAGTGCTTACCTCTCTGGAGGCTCTGGCAAGAAGGTCCCAAGTTCAAGGCCAGACTGGGCTACAGCGTAAGCTCGAACCGGCCTAAGCTATGTAGCAAGGCCTTATCTCAAATAGTAAATAAAGCTGACTTGCTAAAACTTTAGGAAATACAAACCGAGATGAATTCTTAGAGAGTAAAATGACTCTAGGATCTGTATGAAACATGCTGCCCATCAGAGATGGAACTTGTTGGACTTACCCAGGAGGGGACAGGCCACCATCTGTCCAACGCCACAGCTAACACACTTGCCATTCCTGTAATCCCGATAGGAGTCGCAGGGGTAGGCGCTGATGGAACAGTTATTTTGCAGGGATGCAATGTACAGGAACACGGACATCTGGTGGTCACACTTGAAGTACTTCATGCCTTGATTATAAAGGGACCGAGAGCAAAGGCAGGGTTTACCAGAAACACATCTCATTTTACATAAACACCACCACACTTGATCCCAGCTTCCGAATGCCAAGCACGACACAGAAAGCTTCCGTGTGCTCAGTTCCACATAATCCTTATGAGAGCCATGGACAGGGATTCACGGTGGCCTGTGGCAAGGTGGAGGGTAAAAACCTTTGTGAAAACAAAGGCAAACCTTGGGGGAAGGGCAGGTGGGGCTGGAGAGGATGCTCAGTGCTTAGGGGAGCTTCCTGCTCTTCCAGAGGACTCCAGCTCAGTTTCAACACCCACTTTGGTGGCTCACTACTGCCTGTAACTCAGCTCCAGGGGATCCAACACCCTCTTCTGGCCTCCACAGGCAATCATGCTGTCATGCACAACACACACACACACACACACACACACACACACACACACACACACACACTTTCAGGTGGGGAGAGGGTAGCACTGACTGGTACAGTGCTTGCCTATTATGTACAAGGCTCTAATTCCATTCTCCAGAATCACTAATAGGGAGGGCTGTAGAGACGGCTCAGCACAGAATAAAGACCTGAGCTTGGCTCCCCAGCATCCATGTAAAAAACCAGGCAGAGCAGCATAGGTCTGTAACCCTAGCACTGGATATGTGGAGACAAGTGGCTTCCAGGGGTTTGCTGGCCAGCCAGGTTAGCTTACAGAGGGAGTTCCATGTTTGTGAGAGACGCTGTCTCAAAAAAACAAGATGGAGAGCAGCCCATGAGAACATCCTCTGGCCTCTACACATGTATGCATGGGCACATGCACCCAGTGCTAAATCACCCCTCACGCACACACATAGACCCAGATACCACTATCCAGTGTTGGAGCAACAGATTGCTCTTATCATAGTTATGTTTGATGGAATGCAGAGCTCAGGACTACTGCCAAATACTGACGACTTAGAGGAGGCTCGGGAGTTGGGATCACCACAACACACCTGTGAATCTGAAGAACGCCTAGTTTTGTAAAGTCGCTTCACAGAGCAGGCAGCTGCTGTGTCAGCTACTCAGGTTGACATCCATATTCACTGATGGTGCTAGCAAAAGGGCATCAGAAAGTCAGATGGCAACCAAAACCATTATTCAAATGGCAAGATTTGGCTGAACAGGCAAAGACACCTGCCATCGAGCCTGATGGCTTGAGTTCCAACCCTGGGAGCCACAGGGTGGAAGCAGAGAACTGAATTCTTCAAGCTATCGTCTACCACCTGGCACACATGTGACCACACTCATATATAAAAATTGTAATAAAAATGTAAATTGGGGGTTAGAAGGGAGGTAGGGGAGGGAAAGTGGGAGAGAAGGCAGGGGAAACTGGTCAGTATGCAAAATAAATGAAAAAATTTAATAAAAAATGTAAATTAGGAGCTGGGCACTGGTGGCCTACTAATGCAATCCCAGCCCTCAGGAGACAGAGGCAGGAGGATCTCTGAGTTCGAGGCCAGCCTGGTCTACACAACAAGTTCTAGACAGGCTCCAAAGCAATACAGAGAAACCCTGTCTGGTTTGTGTGTCGGGGGGAGAAGTAAATTAGCTGTTAGTTATTTTTCCTTACCTATTATTTAAATAGAGCTTGAAACACAAATTGGCCTCATGAATCTGCCTTATTATTTGGGAATTTTTTAACGGACACAAAATTTGAAATATCAGTGTATGGAACCGTCATGAACAAATCCCACTCCAATGGTCCTATTCTGTTACCTGGCCCCCTCAATATAGCTTCTCTGTTTGTTCTGTTGTTAGAAACAGGATCCCAGTGTCCAAACTAGCCCCAAGTTCACAGTCCTGCCTCCACTTCCGCAATGATGGGATCACGGGTGTACTATGTGGTAAACTTTTGAGCTTCCAAAAAACTGACCATTCACCATTAAATATCAACATTTAGTCTAATCAAGAACTGCTTCCTGGATCTGGAGAGATGGCTCAGTGGTCGGGGCATTTAACTGTTCCTGCTGCTTTTGTGAAGGACCTGAGTTTGGTTCCCAACACTCATGGCAGATGATTCACAACTGCCTGTAAAAAACACATTTTTAATTTTTTTTTTTTTTTCTGTTTTTGGAGACAGGGTTTCTCTGTGTGACGTTCTTGGCTGTCCTGGAACTCGCTTTGTAGATCTACCTTCCTCTGCCGCTGGAGTGCTGGGATTAAAGGTGTGCACCAGCACCCGGCCATTTTTAATCCTTTGGTTAAATTATTGTCTCTCTTTCATAGAATAATTGTGGCTCCTTTGTAAAGGAGGACTGGGCCTATTTAATCCACTGCTGTAGATCCTAGAACAGCGCCAGGCACACATCGGATTGGTAATTAGGACCTGGTGGGTGGTGAGAAAGCACAGTTTACACAGACTCTGCAAGTGCTGGGACCTCTTCCTACTCAGAGTTAAATTAGAAGTTGTGTGAGGAGCTTCTGGTTGGTCACTGGTACCTCCAGGAACTCCAAAGATCAAGGGATCAAAGAGTAGTTCTTATCACTGCCACAGTGTTCATTCATTGTCAAAAGGAAAACGGGCCTTTGGGGTAAAACAGCTGACTAGAACGGCCTCTGTGTGGTACAGTGAAGGAGAATAAGAAAACCAGACCCCAGCTGGGCAATGGTGGCATACACCTGTGATGGTGACAGTTGGGGGTAGAGGCAGGAGGATCAGGAGAGTTCAAGGCCAACTTGGGCTACAAGAGATTCTGTCAAAAAAAAAAAAAGCCAGGCGGTGCACGCCTTTAATCCCAGCACTCAGGAGGTAGAGGCAGAGGATCTCTGTGACTTCAAGACCAGCCTGGTCTACAGAGCTAGTTCCAGGACAGCCTCCAAAGCCACAGAGAAACCCTGTCTTGAAAAACCAAAAAAAAAAAAAAAAAAAAAAAAAGGAAAAATAGACTATCTCAAAGAGAAAATCAGAAACTCAGGAAGAAAAATGTAAACAAAAAATGACCCACTGTAACCTCCCTACCTGATGTTTAGAACAGTATTTGAATGTTTTCTTTTATTTTTATTTCATGTATATGGGTGTTTGGTCTCCTGCATGTATGTTTGTGAGACACATGTGTGACTGCTGTCGGTGGAGACAGAAGCAAGCATCAGACTTCCTGGAATCCGAGTTACACGTGGGTGCTATGATTACACCTGGGGCCTCTAAAAGAGCAACACTGAGCCGTCTCTCCAGTCTCTCCACTATTCTAAAGTTCCTTGATTTATGATCTCCTTTGTTGGTCACAGTAAAAGTTTCATGAGAGGAGGGAAAGGCCTATGAGACTCCGTCCTTCCCTGAGGGACTGGTGGCAGTTGAGGATAATTGGGGCAGATGTCATTTTCTTCTGTGGAACTGTCTTTGCTCCTGTAAATAACCTCCCACCCACACTCCAGGCAAGAAATGTTCATTAATTCAGTGGGTGACACCTACAAGGGACACAGGAAAGCAGGAATTAAGAACAATTCTTGCAGGAGGGTAAAAGTGAACATTTTAATCATATAACTGGATGAAGCTGTCAAACAATTTTAAAACATTAAAAGTAAACTTAATGAAACTATTACTGTGTTGGATTTGAGGTAACCTATAGCTATGTTGCTGGGCCATGGTCATTGTATTTGACTTCAGAATAAACTATTTCTTACTCTCTTTGAGTGAGCGCTTAGTTATTGCATTGACAAGGAAGCCAGTACACACAAACACACACACACTTAAGATAATTATTGTGTTTTTGGGGTTTTTTTTGTTTGTGTGTTTTTTTAAGAAAAAGGATGGGCCTGGGTTGTAAATCCTATGAGCATGGTCTCTCTGGAATTGACCCTTGACCTCACGTGGGCCAATAGGCAGCTGCTGCATAAGGGTCACTCCAAGAATGAAGCATGTGGCCCGGCAGGTGGCGTCCAGGGCAGGTGTGCTTGATTGGTTTAACAGCAACTCTTCTCACTTTCAAAGTGAAATTAGAAGCCAGAAAAGCAGATTAAATATTCAAGAAAGTGAGTGTAAGAAGAAAACTAGTGACCTGTGTGTGACTCAGCCTGGACAGAGCCCTAGAACTTCAGGGAGGGGACCATTGAAAGGTTAGTCTCTGCTGATGTCACAGAAAGAGGCCAGGTTTAGTGGGACCTGGGCGGGGGAGGAGGGTGGGGACAGTGGAGGTGGGAGTTAGGGGAGTGTGGGTGGGGGGTGGGAGAAGGGGAGGTGGGGGAAAGTGGGGGGGGGGAGGTGAGGGGGGGGGGACCCCGGGGGA